GACTGACTGAATTTCTTGTTGATTTTAGGAACATTCTACATTTGACAAATGCCTTTAACATTGGGGATGAAAACATAACTCTTGAAAACTACGATGACTGGTTTAACTATCTCAACACAACTGATCCCTCAGAGGTTGAAAGCCTCAGTCTAAAAACCTGCAATCTTCAGACTTTCCTTGACCAGGTACAGCTATTATTTTATCACCTCTGATAACAGTTATCCAAACAAAGTTTTGAGTGAGTTTACACATCACATCCTACCTGTAGAGTGCGTCTGGGACTGGACTGGCCTTCATTGTGTTCACTGAGGTGGTGATAAAGATGCCAGGCTCTCAGGTGTGGGCGGTGCTGTTCTTTGTAATGCTCTTCAGCCTGGGCCTGTCCTCTATGTTTGGAAATCTAGAGGGAGTCCTCACTCCTCTGCTGGACCTGCACATGGTTCCACCCTGGATTCCTAAGGAGGTTTTCACAGGTAAACTGAAAGATCCAATAACTTCATATGACACTTGCAATAATTGTATTTTGCAGCAATGATAACTCTAGTTAAGTGTCACAACACACAGCACACCTGATGTTTCACTGCAAATGTGCCTTTGGGAAATATTCATTTTTCCCATGTAGATTTTTTCCATGTGAAATAAATAACATGTGAAGAATGTGAACAGAGCCTGTTCCCACAGGACACCAGCATCTGTTCAAGCAGCACACAATTCCTTCAGACACAAATGGGCTTTTCAGATTATTATAAATTCAAAAGTTTTAGAACACTAACACTCAATTTTCCTGTTTTTATTGAGAAGTAAGCCGTTCTAGTCTAGTGAATTCCCTCTGGACCTGCCCAGACAAGGAACAAAGGAAGAGGGACTGGTTGGTCAGGGGCTCATCCTAAGGCAAAGGCCCAAAGCATTAGAAAAAAAGAACCAGACAATGCAAGAGCAGTACAATCTCCAGAATTAGACTCCATTGAGCTGGTTGAAGATGAACTGAAGGTTAAAGCAAAACACATGGGAACTTCTGCAACAGTGTTGGAAGAACTTTCCACAAGTGTGTTTGGCTGCTGAATGAGACTATTTAGATTAAATTTAGGATTTAAGATTACTTTTCAAAACATTTATTATGTATTTGTTCTATGCTTTCATTATATTTTAATTGTTCTTCAGTAGAAAAAACAAGGTGTTCTTTTGACTGGTAGGAGGGTAGATTGTTAGTTTCCTTTTACTGACTTTGGCTTATTGATCACCTGAGAATGAAAGAATAACAAATACCATATATATTTTCATTTTTTTCCTCATAGGTTTAATTTGTCTTACCTCCTTTACTGTGGCTCTAATCTTTACTTTGGAATCTGGAAACTACTGGCTGGAGATTTTCAACAGTTACGTGGGATCCATGCCTCTGCTCGTCATAGCTTTCTTTGAGATCATCAGTGTGGTATATGTCTACGGAATAAATAGGTGATGTTGGACTTAATTATACTGAGTTTATACTTGCAGCATGACAACATGTGTGACCGATTTAACATGGTGTTTCTGTGCACCCACAGGTTTAATGACGACATTGAATGGATGACAGGTCACAGGCCGAACCTTTACTGGCAGGCTACCTGGCGCTTCATCAGCCCTTTAATGTTACTGCTGGTTTTCATTGCATATGTTGTGGTTGAGGCTGAAAAGCAACCAACATATAAAGCCTGGAACCCAGATTATGTAAGACAGGTTTTTTAGCTCTACAACACCACAGCATAAATTTTGGTGTGTCTAGCACAAAGGGTCAAAAAAACCATAACATTGATTTTCGACCTCATTACCCCCACAGGTAAACTTCCCCCTCGCTGATGTTCTGCACTATCCTGAATGGGTGTTTGTTATTAGTGTGCTCTTATCCGTCCTTCCTGTTGTATCCATTCCTCTCGTGGCTCTCTACAGATTCAGTGGCTTCCTGAAGAATTACATCATGAACAGGAACAATCAAAACCCATATGAAAATTAATTCTGTAATGGAGTTGTACATGTAAACCTTTTTTTTTTGTTCTATCAGACATTTGTTCAGAGCTACAGAAATTTTGTCATTTAATAATATCTTATTACCTCCGCCAAGGGACTAATTGCTGTTTCTGTTTGCAGGATTATGCAAAAACTACTGAGACTATTAAATTAAAACATGGTGGAAGGGTTGGGTATTAACTTTTTGAGTGGATTTGATTAAGGGAGCGGATCTAGCTCTAATCTAGATTAGTTTTTACCTCCTATAACATTGCGTTTTCAAGAGACAATGCAAAGAGCTTGATGACACCAGATATATTAGGGGAACTTAGTGTGTGCAATTTGGTGCAGCTTAACTGAATTTAAGGGGACTGGTGGCCCTCGGAGGAGGTATGCACTCTACTGGGTACCATTCTAGGTGTATAAACTGTATTTTTTTGAAAATACAAACACAAAGTTGTTTTTCAATTATTTTTCATCTTTGTATGGTTCAATATTGTAAGCTTCTCATTTTATGAAATTTTAAATCACATTATTACTATATTCCACTGGCAGCAGCAGCTGTAATTTCAGTATATTTGCTAAATTAAAACACACATTTTGTCATAATTGACACAAGTGTATTTATATTGGGGAAGGCGATGCAAACATGGTCAGCCAGATCGAATCAGGCAGACAATATCCTTGAGAAAGAAATAAATGATTTGTGTGATTTGTGTTATTAAAAGAAACAGTTAATTTCCTGTGTTGACTTTTCTAAATGGTTTGCGATACACACAATAAAAATAATCAAATGATTTTCATTACAAATCTCTACTAGAAATGGTGCACGGACTGATGTTTGTAGAAATGTTTTGTTTGTATGTTCAATTACAATAATTGTCTGTCTTTTATGAACATTATGCATCATCTTGCCTAAGCAACTTATTTCATTTTGTGATATAATATAGCTTTCTGCTTTTGACCCTCTGTTACATGCAAGCATAAAGAGGGATGTAGTGTTGCATGATGTGTCCTTTGTCTGACTTTTTTTTGCACGTCAACATGCGGGTGTATGAGTAGCACCTAGTGTATGTGTGAGGGTGCATGCATGTGCTCACTGGCCACACTCGTGTGTGTGTATTTTGTGGTGTGGGTGGACAGTGATATTGTGCCCCCCAGTGTCACGTGCTTTGGAATATGCTGGCTGCCTTTGTTGTCCCTCTGCCCGTTCTGCTTTTCTGGCACTTTCATACAATGGTGCACTTGAACACTGCTATGTTATTAAGCCTTTCAAACTACTACAGCTTGAATTCCAGCTCTCAGGAAAGACTAGCATCCCAATATAGGATACATGGCACAAGATTCATCGTCAAGAAACAACTGCGAGGATTGAGCGTAACATCAGAACAAAGGTGATGACTGACCCTGCACTGATGTATGAGCACTAGTTATTGTCAGTTTTACACTGCATTTATAGAGCTGTGCAAGGTGTCATGCTAATGCTACTTCCAGTATTGTGATCGACATCTTTAAATGTTTTATTCTATCTTGATTCTTTACAATCTGATTTGTTGAGCCTTTGCAGCCATTATCTATCCTTATTGTATAATTGAAAACAAAATTCTAATGTGACCAATTACTTTATATGTTAGACTTAACAATATCATGGTGTTGCAGTCATGACGTGGAGGTTAAAGTGGTTTGTTGAGTTCAAAAGGACATTAAGTTCCATTATTTGTTGCTCTTTGTTTCCTGCTGAGTAAATAAATGGTGTATTCAATGAATTACTATAAGTGTAGTTTTTAGTGTAGTGGTTTTTACTATTGTTTTAGATTACTAACTTGTATGTTTTCAGCTAAATAACCAGTACTTTGAAAAGTGACTTATAAATTCTTGTAGCGATACATAAGAAAATTACTGTAGTAGGACAACTGTCTTTGAAAAATAAGTGAGTGAATACTGTGACGTAGAGTATCGTTACACTAACTGTGGAAGAAGAGTGCGACAAGTTCAACAGGTTTTCAGACCTCCGAATTCTACTCTATAGGCAATGTCCCAGCGAGCAGATGCCTCCCAGTGTGGTGGGGTTGTGGTCGAATTCGAGTCTGACGACATCAGGGAAGCAAGAGCTAAGAAAGCAAGGAGTATACCAGGTGAACTCAATTTCATATCCTATGGGAATTTGTGTTGTGCGTTTGCAGCAAATATGTGTGATTATTCCATTTTCATGCATTTCCCCCCATTAGGTTCAGCTCTGATCTACCTCAAAGGCCCCAAGTTTCTCATCTATGTCAGTGGAGCATTGTCAATGTGGGTAAGAATCATTTCCCCAAAGAAGCAGATTGCCGGAGCAACAGCTAAGACATCGAACACTTGAATTACTGTAAACTTTGACTGTAAACGTACGGGCCGCCTCTTTTTTAACACAACATATAATGATAACCTTTTATGTTATGTTAAACAGGGTGACCGCATGTGGCACTTTGCTATCTCCGTGTTCCTGATTGAGCTTTATGGCCGTAACCTGCTGTTGACAGCGGTGTTTGGATTGGTAGTGGCTGGGTCAGTGCTCCTGCTTGGAGCTTTGATTGGAGACTGGGTTGATCGCAATCCAAGGAATAAAGGTACGTGCTGCGATTTAACACAAATCTGAACATTTTAGCATGCGGTACATGACAGAACAGAGATATGGATCAGTGGATTTCAATCTTGGGCCTAGAAGTGTGCTGGTTTCCTCTGGAACTAGGTGCTAAATTATACTCACCTGAGGTTTCAGGCATCATCATCAAGATTCACAACCACTGACTCATATGTGCCAAAGCTAGCATTCATTTTATTAATAGATTTTCTATGTTCTTAAAGTGTTTTTGTTTTGTTCCCTATTATAGTTGCACATGCATCTCTTTTCATTCAGAACATCTCAGTGACAGTATGTAGCATTGTGCTCATGTTGGTGTTCTCATATAAGCAAAGGATTGAACAGATCTGGGATGGCTGGCTCACTGTGAGTAGACACTTCACTTGACTAATAATCACATTTCATACATTGATATTTTATTGATCTGCAAATGGGATGCACACCATGATTGTCACACAGAGTTATGGCTGCTGTTGTTGTTCCCTCTGTCCTGTGTCCCTGTTGTCTCTGCTGCTGAGCTTGTGGCTAACTCTGTGCTGTCATAGTAACATGTTGCATCGCAAAACTTACACAAGGTGGTTTGTTATACGGTGGTGATCGTCCTGGCAGATGTGGCAAACCTTGCAAGCACAGCGCTGACCATTGCCATTCAGAGGGACTGGATTGTGGTTATTACAGGCTACAACCGAGGTCACCTAGCTGGTGAGCGGATTTGATTTCTGTTTATGCTCGTGTTGGTTTATAGTCCATGTTTCTCAGGGGCTTGTATCACTGGTAATTCATGATAAATATGTGAATTATAGAGAATATTGGGCACTGGTCCATTTTTGATTTTTGCTGAACACCCTCTAGTAGACACTGGTTAACCTCTGTGTGTTTGATCTTAACAAAAGGAATGAATGCAACCATGAGGCGGATAGATCAGGTGACTAACATCCTGGCCCCACTAGCAGTGGGACAGGTCATGACCCTGGCCTCCAATGTAGTAGGCTGTGGCTTCATCCTGGGCTGGAACCTTGTGTCTCTCATTGTGGAGTTCTTCTTCTTGTCACGAGTGTACCGCATCGTCCCGGCTCTCTCGATCAAACCACCAGTGGTGGAGGTGGATCAGGTGTATCTGCAGAGATTGGAGAGGAGAATGTCACTAGGTATGGATAAACATGTTTTTTTCTGTGTTCATACATCTTACCATCACCAACATAACCAAGATTTCAATATTACCAACACCTTGTAGATATACACTACAACAATTTATTTGACTAAATATGCTACCATGGCCTGCTTGTTGTTGACAAAGATGAAAATACAGCTGCTATGAGAGATCAACTCAAATGTGACCTTTGAAATTAAAAAGAAAAATTGTGCCAGAGGTATTGTGTATTCATTACAGTATGAAAATGATCTATCGCCAAATCCTAATAAGAGCATTCATTCTTACTGATGGACAGTAATGATGGATGAAACTCCTTTCTCTCATCAGGGGAAGGTATCGTTGCACAACCTCAGCCTCTGACAGAAGGCAACTGCAACACAGGCCTGAATCTGAAAGAAATCACAAACCTGCCTCTGTGTTTCCGGAGGTTTCGCTGGTTGTTGAGCACCTGTAAGGACGGCTGGAGGGCCTACTATCGGCAGCCTGTCTTCCTGGCAGGAATGGGTCTGGCTTTCCTCTACACAACAGTGCTGGGCTTTGACTGCATTACCACTGGCTATGCCTACACTCAGGGTATAAGCGGCTCTCTCCTTAGTCTACTGATGGGTGTTTCAGCGATCACGGGGCTGTTGGGCACTGTGATGTTCACCAGACTCAGGAAGACATATGGCCTGGTTAACACAGGCATCATCTCGAGCTGCATCCACCTCGGCTGCTTGCTGCTGTGTGTGTGCTCCGTGTTTGCCCCTGGCAGCCCTATGGATCTTAGCTTGCTGATGCCCTACTTTACCTCCAACTCCTCTACGGAGCTCGGAGGGATGGCAAGCCAAAGGCAAAAACACACATTTCCACTGAGGGGAGGAAGCAATCAACCACTGCTTCCTGACCGCTCCTCCATTCATTGGACCAACAACACCGTGCTTTTTGACAACGTTCCCTCCGGCACAGCACCAGAGTCCTATATCTCCATTATCCTGTTGTTCTTGGGCGTCATCACAGCACGCATCGGTGAGTGGATAGACATCTAAAGCAGACACCAAGTGCATACAATATATTAATATGCAATGAATGAGAATACTGTCAACTGTAAAGCATGGTCATTACATGGGTAGCCTATCAGGACTATCTATCTATCTTGGCCAATACGTTAAAAACTGCATAACAAAAACTGTCAAAAGATGTAAGGTTTAGTAAGTTTAACAGTTACATAGTTTATCCACCAGAGAGCGCTGACAATACACTGTACAATCTACCACTCAGTTCATATATTGGTGAAAATTACAGTACATCTAGGCCTATTTCTTTTTGTTTCTTACTTAAACCAGAGAGTGACAGTCAACTTTGTAAATGCAATGTTTATATATGCAATGCAACATAGTGGCAACTAGATTGCCCTTCACTTACAATATTTAATGATCATACTTAAAGGTTTTAAGACCGATATTAGGGATTAAAAAACAATATCAGCAGATATATTCAAAAAATTTTAAATCAATCCTAAAATGTAATACGACAAAGAAATGTAATTCAGGCCTGATATTTAACAGTTTAATCAAACTTACTAACAACAACTAAATAGAAAAAAGATATCCCCAAAAAATATAGAACCTGAATTAAGAAAATAAACATACTTTTTTATGTAAAATGTTCACATAAATGCAAATCTTTTCTGTATTGTTTGTTATGTAAAATAAAAGTGTTCTTAGCACATTGGCAAACACAATCGCAGATGATGATATGTCCTTGATCTGGTTGGTTGGTATTAGGCTAGTATTATTGGCCAATCTGTATATCTGTCAGTCTCGATTAAAAATAAAAATATCAATGTCGGTATCAGCCAAAACACCCATTAACTTTTTCAATCAATTAATTTTAGTTTGAAGGACAAAAAAACACCAAGCTGTACAAAATACTGACTAATTTAATGTCATTTAAACCTCAATGACATCTGTGTTTCAGGTCTGTGGTCCTTTGACCTGACAGTGACCCAGCTCCTGCAGGAGAACATCTGTGAGTCAGAGAGGGGTGTGGTAAACGGTGTGCAGAGCTCTATGAATTACCTGATGGATCTGCTTCACTTCATCATGGTCATCTCCGCTCCACAGCCACAGCACTTTGGCATCCTAGTTATCATTTCTGTGTTATTCATCACCACCGGGCACACCATGTACTTCGTGTATGCACACCAAGCCAAGAGAAAACGCCGCCTCAACACATAAGGAGCAGACGTGGCCCCACACCTTCACGTGTGAGATGCCTACCAGCACTGACTCCACTCTGCACCTGTGAAATGAATGTCTCCCTCCTGTTCCTTCAGCAATCTTATTGCAACACTCCACTCCTGACGTAGCCATTCATTTCAGCATAACACAGCGAGTGCCTATCCCACCTCGGTTGCTTTCTTCCTGCAGGGCCAAGCGCCACAGCAGCAAACAAGACCTCAGGTGAAGTAGAGTGGGAGACACGCTCTCCCTATGTGTACATACGTTGAGGTGGCTACAATAAATGCAGCAATGGTACCTCCAGGTGAACTGTCCTACTCTACTCGTACAACAGTACAAAAAGGTTAAGGCTTAGGCTCCAGCACATGCCTTTGCGAACCCTGTAGGATTACCGCAAGACCTTCATCAGACAAGTCTGTTAACTTACATAGCTTTTTGGATGGGAGGGTGGATGGATGGAGAGATTTTTCTACTCACTCAGTTAGGAACTGGTGTTGTGAGAAAAACTTAGCAGTGATACACAAAAATACAAAACAAGACGAGACAGACTTTTACAAGTGGCATCGATGTTACTGATCCGTCCACTTGGAAATATTCCAGGATGTCCAGAAAGGAAAATAAAGGGAACGTGATGTGAGATTGTTTGATTTATAAAAGAAAAATCAGAGAGGCAGCCCCCTTTTGATGGACAGAAGTGAAAGGATGAAGTATTTCCTTCCCCTGGTTTGTTTCTCTGTGGATGAATCAAGCAAGCGTTTGCCTTTCTTTTATGCATGTTATGGATTACAACGAAAGATCACACTACATCATGTACTTGAGTCAATAAAAACTATTTTATTCTAATTGCTTGTGTACTTGGATAAATAAGAATAGTTTCCAAACTTTCTTTCCTTCCCATATAAAGAGTGATATTAATAGTTTTATAGAAACCTAAGAGGAAAGTGATCTTCATTGTGTGACATGTTTGAAACCAGTGAGAGCTATGTGTTGATAGCAAATGTCCATCCCTGCTATTGGCAGTATTGTATTAGACTTTGCTTTATTCTTTTGTAGTTCTGATGAACTAAACTTTACCTTACCTCAACTAAGAACAAGAACACTGTTGGGAATATGACTTGGGAATCACTCTCAGCTACTCTGTGTTTTCATATCTCCTTCATGTACAGTGGAAAAAACATCAAAGTCTGTCATACAACCAGCAACACATCTCAATATATTTGTATAATTTCCCTGTGAAATCTCTGTATCGTATGTTGTCAGACTGACTTTTATGATAATAAAGATGACTGAGGAGGATTTGGCCTCAAGTCCTGTGACCTAAATAATAAACAAATGCATATTTGTAAAGTAAAATAAAGTGTTACACATGCTGTGCTGGATGACTTGCTATTTATTTTACACAGCTAAATGTCTTTTTTGACATAGCAAATGCACAAAGGCTCTATTAATTCAAAGTAAAGTCAACATTTCAACCTTCATGAGTTAATGTTACTGGAATCATTCCAATAAAAAGGACAGCCATGTGGTTTCATTCTGTCCTTGTGGACTCTAGATATTTGATGTTTCAATACAAACAAACACATCCCTATAACTTGCAAGTAGTTGCTTAACATTTTGCTCCAGTCAAACTACTACAGATATTATATAATCTGAGATATAGTGCCAGAGTTGGAGTAAAATCCTTATCGGTCAGAATTGAGCTATAGTACCCAGATTGCTCTCATGGTTGTTGGCAGAAATACCTGCAGTGTAAAGGATAGTGAAGGAGCCAGGGAGGATAAAGTAGATGCAAATGTAATGGCTTTATGTGGCCAGTAGAGGTCAATGTCACATTAGAGGGTCATCACTGTGCCAGTATAGCAAAGCTTCCTTGGTGCAATATAGTATCTTCATCCTAAAATTATATTAAAAATACCATCATCAACCAAGAGTAATTTGAATACTTTTGACAATCATCCAGGGGAGGACAAATGAGGATACACAAGGGTGGACAGAATAATCAGTAAAAATGTTCAACAAAAGGGAAATCATTACGAGAGGAAGGACGTGAATCCACTACACAGTGTCCCAATATCACTTTGGTGAGAGCCCACATTAGTCGTATTTTCAATACTGGTGCACCAGCAGAATTTATTCTATCACAGACTGTATATAAAGATATCAATACAGCACACGAGTATGTACAGAAAGCTGAGAAATTATGTTTATAATCAGGAGTTGTCTGAGTTTACATTTCTGTTGCAAGCCTCTCATATTCTTAAAGGCTGCTTCTATGATGATAATGATGATATTGACTGCCAGCTCCTGCCACCATTGTAAATCTATAAAAATGTTACACTAAATGAAGCATGTAATGCTTCCATCACAGTCTCTGGCAGTATGTGGGAGCATTACCTTGGCAATATACAGAAGCCATGATTAGGCTGGTAAATGCAAGTGGACTGTCTAAGAGCTGATGCTGTATTATACACCACTGCAGACCTGATAGATATCAAGCTGGAAAATTAATTACAACAATCAATCAATCAGTCAGTCAGTCATTCATTCATTGTATCCCTCAGCCACTTGAGAGATCTAGGTTGTCTGTTACAGTCAATACAATTCCTATTGAACTAAAAAGAAATGATATTGTCATCTGCTAATATCTTTTTCTGCGTTAAAATCTGAAGCTCACAGAAAGAATTCCATCTAAAGCCAGAGCGATACTAAAACAATTCCACAGAAGAAAATTTGACTGACTTATCAGTTGGCTGGTGAAAAAGTAAAATAAAATAAAAAAATCGACAAATCCAAATCTGGGTTTATATTTGTGCCACTATAAAATCTTTTATGGTATGGTTTGATGTTGAAGCAAGGAAAGTAAACAGTGTTTTTTTAAAAGTGCTATATAAACATACTTTATTATTATTACTATGCACAAATGCCTCACCTTAGGTCTCCTACAGGCTTTTGGGATTAAGCTGTAGCCAGTTGGTTGTAGCTTTGACTGAGCTCCAGCCCAAAAACCTTCTCACCACATGTCTATCAAGATGAAGAAGGTTTTTTACAGTGATGGAGGTGATCCCTAAATCTACAGGTGAGGTTTACACCTCTGCTCTACCCACAGGAGAGGCGGGAGCTAAATGCTAATTCAACCCAAAGCAAGACAAGGCAGCTGCCATTGGTGATGTTGTGTTTGTGGCTCATGGTACGTGATGGGCAGGACTGCTTTGTTTACATGTTGTTGCTAGCTAGCTAACACGCGCTAGTGCTAACTAGCTAAACGTTAGCCACGCTAACTCCGTTGCAACACGGAGCTAATGTGACAACAACAACACGAGGAAGCAGCACTTACCCAACAATTCACTGACGAAGACAAACTCACTTTCACAAACACTCTTCTGCTTCCATGAGAAACATCAACAGGATCCATGGCGGGAGACTTTTCACGTCTCTTCTTTTGTACGATGGAAGCGGAAGTGACAGAACCAGCTCTCAGGTGTGTTACAGAAGTGTGGTTGTTGATCCACCATTATCAATTTATTATTATATAAAATATCAGCTTCCTATAAAACAAAAATTCAACGAGTACATGAGTCGATTGACCGAAATGAACTAAAAGTTGCCACAATGTCTCGTTTTCAAATGTGATCTGCTTTTCTTTGTCATATGCTGGTAAATTATTATTTTAGACCGTTTATCTAAATAACTGGTGAAGATGACTGTGGCATCTGTAGAAATTATAAAAAATAATTTTGATGGAGAGAAAATTGATGGATCCATCAGTTATTATAATTAGTTTATAACATTAATGAAAATACAGATTTAGCTTATTAAACTACATTTAGGTGCACCTATACTGCCAATGCATTATACAGTATGTCACCTTCCACTATATTTACTGTAGAAAACAGGTTAAATATTTTTATTCCAGATCGATAGAAAAGTTTTTGTTTCATTAGTGCCTCCTTGTTTTGACGTATAACCTCATAGATGTCCCCAACATGGTCTCCACTTGGTCTCTTGTATGTAAGTTTGATTGGTGCTTACAAAATACAGTAATGCACTAATGTAGAAAACAAAGATTAGCCTGCATTCATCATCCCTACACTGTGTGGTTTTGTTATTGTGTCTCTTGTTTGTTAAGCATCCTTTTTAAATTTTTTATAAGACAGTGCAGCTTCTGAATATCTGTACTTGGCTGGGTATTGGTGTCTTGTAAAGGAGGCAGTGTAACAAGATCACCAGAGTTTCATCACCATTTAAGTCTTTTGCTGTTTTGCAGGAGAGTGGTTGTCATGGTAGTCCCTGGTTAAAGACGGTATTCATATTAGAGCAAGCTTGCTAACAAGTCTTTAGGCGTTCTCACTTTGCAATTAATTTACTTGAGAAAGTGGGTCAGTGGTAGCATATTAAAGCTGGAGTTGTCCTCCTGGCTTTGTGTGATGTTCTCTAGGAAGCAGCAGGAAGGAGGACAAAGTTGTTTTTAGACATTCATGGCCATTGCTTTTCCTTAGTTTACCTCTCATAGAGCAATGGTGGAATAACGTGAACTAAAGACAATACTTGTAGGTAGTTCACTTGCTAAAGTTTACTATCTATAAATGGGATGTGGTAAGATTAATTCTCAATTAATACAAGTCACTTTTGTGGAATGAGTGAGCTGATAGTTGTAAGGGAATGAAGTTGCAACTGATTGGGAATTCTTCACGCGCTCATTCTGACCTTTCAAGAACATGTTTCAATAAAGATTAAAAGATATTAGCTATTCCCTTCCATTCAAATGTTTTGTGTCAATAGCGCCAAATCAAAAGGCACTTTATAGAGTATAGGTCAAGACCTTACAATATGTAGAGATAAGCACAACAGTTTCCACGATGCGGAGAGAGAAAAAAATACCTCCCTTTTAACAGGAAGAAACCTCTAGCAGAACTAGACACAGGATGGGCGGACATCTGCCTCAATGGTTTGAGTTTAAAAGAGAAACACAGGGGAGAGAGGAGAAAGAATACAAGGGTAAGGAAAGTGGGAGAACTGAATTAGTCTTATATTCTCCTTCAAATATATATGTTGAATGTGAGGGCATTCCTTACCAGTTACTTTGGAACAACAGAGGAGGATATAGTGGAATGATGAGACTCACCTCATATGAAAGAGAAACACCATCTAGAGATGGGGACCTTTTCTCATCCAGCAGTTTGCTGCATCAGCAGTTTGCAACAGCAGCACAATTGAATGGCTTTGCCAGGAGCCAGTCAAGCGTCACACTGCTGACAGAGGAGGAAAAGGATATAATGATAATAGAGAAAGTGTTCATATGAAGAATGAATGTCCTTGCCTCACCCTGATCGATACATTCACGATCACACCGGTCCCTCTGTGAGCACGCTGAGTGACTGACAAGTTTTATTTAATTAGTAAGTGTTTGACAACTCTGTGAATTTAAATAAAAACAGACCCTTTGTGCTCGTACACCAGCTTAATAAAACATTCCTCTGCAGCACCACTAGTGGCAGCCAGTTATTTTCATAATGTATTATTCTATCAGTGTCACAGAGGACATTTTGACATGTCACAGTAGGAAAAGCACAAGTGTAAATAATGAAATGAATCACTGGGGCTCTTGAACACAACAGAGCCATCTTAAATGTTATCAGGGAGACCTGGGCTACAGTGACAAGTGTCTGCTGTGAAAAAGGTTGATTAAATTTAGAGTTGATTAGTGTAGTGCCAAGACAACTTGATAAATCACCCACAAATTAATCAGCAAATGTTATAATAATAATTTAACATCATCAATCATTAAAGTTTGATGTCTTATGTTATAAAAATGTAGTGTAATGTAGTGTTGGAAATCTTGGTCTGAAAAAATTAGCAGTTTGATATCATAGACTTTGCCTTGGGAAACTGTTGTTCATTTGATTCATTAAAGATTAATCAAAAGCCCTTAATCTGAATCTACTAATATTTTTGTCTATTAAATTTCACTGGATTTTTAAATATTAAAGTGCCGATATATCATAAACCCTGCAGATGTTCAGGGTATAAGAGGAAAAAAGGAAAAAACATCAACTCAAACTGGGCTGATCAACTGTAATAGTTAGTTACATATTTGCTGATCATTCTTCAGATAATTTAACAAATTTTCATTACTAAATTGATAATATTCTTAGATCTATGCCCCTTTCTGTGCTTTTACTCTACGACTTGCTTCGTTTACTGTATTGTATCTACTCACAACAGTTGTGTTGCTTTAGTGCTTGTGCCCAAATGACCTTAAACCCCCTCTCACGTAATTCAGCTCCACCCGAACAAGTGTTTGACCTTCCAGTGTTAAGTATCCTGCTCGGTCCCAAATGTCTCCTGCTTTCGTGAGATTTTGAAACTTCCTTTTTGGGGCTGTCTGGCTCAACCAGATGTTTCCTGAACTCACGGTGTTCATAACTCACTCCCCTCCCCGGTACTGAAAAGGCGAGAGAAGGACGGAGAGAGAGAAAGGAACTGTGTCACTCACTCTCAGTAAAGCCAAACACACACACAGAAAGATACCTGGAGTCCTAGTGATCAAGTTTTTTTCTGCGTTAGCCTCTCTGCTTCAGAGCTGATCAAGGTGTACAGCAGCAGAGATTTACTTTGGCTACAAGGACAGAAGACTCACACACACAGAGACACACACTACACATACAGTCATTTTTGAGCTGCTCACCTCCTCTTGCACTTTTTGAGAGTTTCCTGCTGTTTTGCTCTGGTGGACAGCCAGCGATGTCGTGGGATTGTGGCCTAAGGTACATGTTCTCTGTGCCCCCCGTGCTGCAGCCGGGGAGCATGTGCATCCTTCATGACAAGGAGGACCTGTCTAGATTGGAGATGGTCCAGAGACTGGCCAAGGATGGCTGCCGCTTCCTGCAGAACCACAGCAAGGGCCCGGAGAGGACATGCGAGGTGAGATACACAACAACAATGATGCACTCATTACAGATGCTTTTAAAGTTTCCTACATCTAAATTGTATTGATACAAAACTGCAGCCACAGTTTGAAAACCTACTCTGAAGCGTTTCACTGAACAGTGGCCTTGTAAGAGAGAAAACATCAGTCAAGCTGCTTATCACATAGTGCTCTGTTAGTCATTATGAACCCTCCTCAATTAGCATAGTTTCTCCTTGAATATTCAGTGAGAGGACATTAGATAGTCTGTTTTACCCTGGGCTGCACTGTGGTGTTTTAACGCTTTACTGCTTTGAGAGCATTGAGCCTGAGCATCCTCTCTTGCAACCCCCCCTGCAGTGTCTCATTAATCAAACTGATGTTAGGTTATTGTTTGTGTTTATTGCTCTACATACATTCTATAATGCCTCTGCCTTCTCTGAGGGCAACTGCTGTTATTAAGATTCTGTCCAGACAAACCAACAAACCTTTCTACACTTTATGCAAATATAAAAAGATAACACAAAAAGACTGCTGCAAAAAAAGCCATTATAATTACACAACTGTATAGAAAATATCAGAACAGTACACTTTAGAGTGCAGTGTATTCAAATGTAAAAAGATGTACATTATAAATGCACTATACAGAAACTGAATGTGCATTAGGGTGCAGTTGGTATTCTAGGTTTCATTTCAGAGTGCCATCTGTCATTATTGAAAGTGTAACTACAAGTACTGTATGTTCAAGTACACTTTATAAAAACATTACATCACCTGCCAGTTAGCTGCGTAGGAGACATCTGATTGGCTGACCTCACAGCGGGCTCAGCTACTCCCTTCCTGCCAGCTGTATCTGCATGCTACCCTGTTCAACAATGGCAGGAAGAGTTGACGCAAGTGTCCAGAGCACCATGCCAAGACATTGTGTGGTTTCAGGGTGGATTCCAGTGCATCAGGTCTCTGACCTTTTTTCTCAGAACACAAGGCCCGATCTCTTTGTCTATGTTGTCATTTAATATAATGACCTTTTGTCTGCATTAGGCCTCTGCTAATCTGTGTGTGATCAAATGTTAGTGCTGCATCATTCAACAATCTGTCTCACTTTTATAGTTTCAGTCACATGCTTTGGACCACACTTCTCATACTGGGAATTCAAAAGAAAATGGAGTGTACCGACAACACGTGCATGTGTCATTTGCGTAATCCTAGCAGTAATGGCCAGAAATGCTGCCCCTGTATTTAATACTTACCATTATCTCGAAATATTAAGATTACTGAGATTATATAGCAGTAAAAAGTAATCCAATACTCTTATTACATGTGACTCATGATGCAAATATCTAAGCCCAGACATCAACGACCTTAGCATTCAGTTAATTCCCAGCTGCTAGAAACAGGGATGCTTAATATACAGTAGGCTGCATGTCAGTGGAAAGATACGAGCAATTCTAAAGCAGGGAGATCATGGATGTTATGTAATCCACTTTAAAATAATAACAAATGTTTTTTACCAAACTATCATCACTGTCACTTTAAATCTGTGAGAATATTACTTGTGTATTCAGAATCTGTGTGTGCATTTACAGATTTCTAGAAAAAACAGTTCTTTGCATGCAATTCAACAAATTTCAATACACTTGCACATCTAATGTCACATAAAAAATTTTACATGCTTACATACCTGATTACGCACACAGATTGAACTACAGTTACACAACTCTCCACACACACAAACAATATTGTCACAATAAATGCCCCATGTATGTTCCTTTGTCTTTTTAATTGTTGGCAATTTTTGAATTATTTTCGGGTGACATCTTTTGATATCTTACATAAGATTTGACTTATGATTATTTCATCAGCTACATTTGACTTGGCTCTGTACATATGTGTGGAAAATAGAGCATGAAGAGTAAGAAAGCTGTTTTACTTAACAGTCCTATACTTGTTTACAGTGTATTAGCAGAGCTTAATGCTTTTAAAAGGTATTCAAGCATATTATTGCTGGATATAACTATAATGAAGTGAACTTTGAGTCCTGTATGATCCACACTATTCCTTGAGATAAATTACATCTGCATCCTGTCAGGACTGACGTCTTCCAGGTCCCAGTAAATGTTCCATACCATACGTGCCAGAGCTGCAGCAGCAGTACAAAGACAGACACTGAAAACAGAAAGTGTCCCCCGAGCCAGCGGAATGCCTCTGGAACCCTGAGAGAGACAGTAAACCATTTGACCGCATGACTTTGTGCAGACGCCTGATAAGTAGTGTTTACTCTATTGCTAACAGTGTCCATGTTGGGAGGACTCCAGTCGTAGCTCTGAGTCCAGTGAGTTAAGGTCACCTCTCGGCTCGAGTAGGAACTCTACTTCCACGGTGCTGTGTCATTACCATTATCCACTCTAGTGGCCTGATTGTTTCTTACTATCAGGACACTGGCGAGTGGCAACCACAAAGCTCTAGGCATACTGAGTAGTGGCCTGCAGCAGCCACGTCAGGATCAATAATTCATTGTTTGGAGAGGTTTGTTTGCTGTTTGACCTCCTAGCGTTGTACTCAGACACTGTTAATTATAGTAAAAAAAATAACAAAACTAGGATGAAGCGTACACTGTATGTCATGTCTGGATAAAGACAGAACCACCAGTGTCTTTTTTTTCCAAGAACCAGGAAGCTAATCAGCACAGCCTTCCTTCTCTGGGAACTTTTCTAGGTCTTTGGCCTTTGTCAAGACTCCAACCTTATGTCATATTGTCCAGATAATACTTTTATTACACAGGACACATTCTTAGTACATGAAAGCAATTTTGTCTGTGCATGTGGTTTTAGAGAGGGAAGGAGTTAATGAGATGCCGCTAACAGACATCTAAACGTTGCTTTGAATTATGAGTCACTGCAGAGAAGGAATCTCCAGCAAACATTGCCATTAATGGTCCTATCTGAGTCTTTGAATGCCTCTCTCCTGTTTATAGATGTGACTGCATGTGGCCAACCCAGGGATGGACACAATAGTGTGTCTTTAGTTGTATTAGATCTGAGTATGTTGTCTTAATGTGTGTGAGAACTATATGCATGTCTGTTTGTGTATACACGTCCACAGATCACAGATAAGTGTTTGTGTGCAGGGGAAGTCATGCTGAACTGAAGGTCTCGGGACGCTTCTTTGCAAAAAGGCAATTAGGGCAGAAAACTGCAACCACTTCCAGCCTGTCTGCCTGGCTAATTGCACGCACAGCGGCTTGTGTAGCATTGACTGATGGCTGAGGAGAGGGAGGGTGAAGTGACTGGGGGGGGGGGGGGGGGGGGGGGGGTGTGTGTGCACCGTACAGTGAACTCCTCATTAAGACCAATATTTCTGATCCACACTCTCCATTGTCAAGCAGCCATCTTTGCTCTTCAGAGATGCTGCAACAAACAAGCCATTGTGTTTACAATGTATAGGTAAAAAAGTAATTAAATGTTCACACGGACAGGTAATGTACGGCTTCAGACCCTTTAAACTAGAGTTTGCTTTAAGCTAAAAAGCTGAATGTAAGTACTGCTGCTTTATATTTCAGCTTTCCAGCATTGTAGCCTACAATGGGTACCACCCCCGTGTGCATTTGTAATTATGAGACTACTGTTAAACTGATTAAAATGATTCAATGACCATATTAATAATCAGCTTGTCAGTAAATCTAAAATATGTCTAAGGAGTCACATGGAGGAGACTGTCCCCTACCGAGGCTTAGACTGATAAGAAGGTGATTGATAAGGGTGACATTGTGTGACTGAGGGAGACAGAGAGAGAAGAGGGAGACAGTGGACTGACTGTATGAATTCACAGACCTTATGTTAGTCAAAAAGGAGCTACTATAAACTCTAAACCACTAAACCATTGTTTGCTTGCAGAGTTGAACCCTGTGTTGGTTTATGAACAGATTGTCTCTAGACACCACCCATAATTTAATAGGCTCGCCATAAGATTCAGTAATTAAAATATGTATGAGTCTTTTATGTTAATCCCTGAATGGGCTCCACCGATAAGGACTGAATAAAGATATATGGAAATCCTCTTTCATTTACAGTGCTGGCTTTCACAGAGCTTTATAATGGAAATCACCAGTGATTTGTGTGGATGGGAGAAAATACAGGGAAATCTCCTTGGTGATAACACATTTGCTCCATCCCTCCCTCCCCCCGTCTCTCTCACTCTCTCTCTCCAGCCCCAGAGTGACGAGGCAGTCCGTGTGTGTCTGCGGGAGAGGGGCCACGATGTGCTCGTTCTCCAGAGAGTGTCGTCAGAGCGGCCAGCCCTCTCCGCATCGGCGAGGGCTGGAGGGAGGGAGGAGGCGAGGAACAGGAGGTAAGCCTCCCCACTCTCTCCTTTCTAGATTCCCTCTCTCTCTCCCTCCCCTCTCTCACTCATCTGTGTGTCTCTCCCTCAGCAGTCTCCCTCTTATCATTCTCCCTCTCTCTCTCTCTCCGGATCACACTCACTCAGGCATGCTTACATCACAACTCTCTACACATAAATGACTACATCATATACATGTTAGTAAGCAGCATTGGGCTGTGAGGCAGAGCCCTGCTGGCTTCCCTCCCCTTCATCCCATTCAGGAGCTTTACACTGTGATCATACTGGGATATCTCAGTGTGCTTGAGAGACAGACAGCAGTGGACTCTGGACTGTATCAGCTGCTGGTGGACGGATGGCTGGATGGATAGGTAAACAGAGCATGCAACAGTAACCACAGCAACATAGGGCACAGGGGACTCTGTGAGGATGGGATCTCGGCCACAGCCCCTGAACCTATGGCAAGAGGAGGGCAGGCTGCTCCACGCTGCCTTGGTGGAGCAGGAGGAGGACGAGGATGATGAGGAGGGCTCCGGGGAGAGCAGCAGTGACTGCACGAGCCGGGCAGAGCCGGTGACGATGCCCACCTTTGACGTCCCCTACTTTCGCTACATAGACGACGAGGGGACGGAGGGAGAGGAGGAGTGGAGCAGTAGCCGCTCTCTGTCCTCTATCGAGGAGGACTCGTCCACTGACTCTGTTGTGTCCGACAGGTTCATGGTGGTATCAGGGACCCCGGAGAAGATCCTGGAGCACTTGCTGAATGATCTAACACTGGACGATGACCAGGGGACGACACAGGTCAAAGAGTCAGGTCAGCATATATACTTTCATGTCCTGCAACAAATATGTTTTTTAGTGCATGTTTTTAGTTTATTAACATGTTTCTCTTATTTCGGTGTCAAATTAAAAATAATCTGTCAGCTGTATTGAGTGGGCGGGTCATCAGAAAAACTTTAAGAATGGATTAGTTTGATGTTGTGTCCGACAGATGTTTTGTTTGTGTGTGGTGAGAGGGATACCTCCCTTTATTCTTTGTTTTTACTCCCTCCCCTCCTCTCTCCTCCTTTTCACAAAGGAGCTGAGACAGCAGCCCCCCCCCCCTCAGACTATATGACTTGGCCGTTCATGCGCTGTCATTCCCAGAATGCCACTAAGTTTGAGCCTGTTCATGTAAAAGCCTGTGACAGATATAAACGTTACTCGTATCAATTGTCTGAGGCTGTAATTGACTGTGTTACGTGAGGTCAAGCCTCACAGACCACAAACCAGCACATTTCCTCTTATCCCAGCAGGAACATGATAATGTGCCACTGTTGCCAAGGCAGAGGAGACTCTTTTGCTGGAGCTGGAAAAGATGACTTGATGAGAGGTGATGAATGAGAGCAGCAACACAGTCAGTCAAGGAGAGGGGAAGCACGAGGAAGAAAGAAACAATGTGAAAGGGAGGAAAGTGGAAGATGGAAGATAAATGTTCATATTTTTCCTTGGAGATGGAGGTGGTCACAGATGATCTCTCATTGTGATGGAAACAGGCTAACCCAATACCAGAGGTCGTTACTCATTCTGATGGGGAAGTGAAGGGAATTGATTTAAATAGTCTCTCAGGAGATGTGCCTGTATTTGCAAAATCAGGCATTTTACATTCACAAGTTATGTCTTAAATTGAATTGCATATTTTATTGCTACAATCGAGTATTTAATATCACTGGAGCTGCATTAGCAGGGAGATGTCTGCAAGCGTCTGGGTTTGGTTTCTATAAAACAAACCAATCTGTGCTGTACCTTTTAGCTAATTTCCTATAGGCTCGATAGGCAGTGTGTTGTTGATGAATCATTCAATTTGCAATGAGTGTATTGAAGTTAAGTCTCCATAGGGATCATCATGCTGTGCGATATCCCAGGGTCAAAGAGCCAGAGACCTGACGAGCAGACTGAACTGAGTCCTTAGCAGGAATTGATCTGCGCTCAGTGACTTTTAATAGTCCAGCTGGCGGTGGTGGTCTCTGTGAGCACTGAAGCTCTGTATGCTCCCATGCTACTGCACAGTGTGTCCTTGGAGGTTCCGCCCAGCAGAAGCACGACGGCACAACATCCTTGATTTCTTCAAGAACAGATTTATTTCAACGTCCACGAAGTTGACGCGTCTGCTTGGTCTCTCTGAGGGAGATCAATCAGAAAGATCGTGCAGCAACATGACTGATGATTGCGGCAATGTATTGATATTGTGTTTATGATTTACATGCAGTACAGAACATTAGAAAGCCAAATGTATCTCATCATGGTTGCACCAACTTCCATCTTTACTCAACATTAACAATGCAGAGTTGCTTTATATCTTTCTGCAAGAGATTGCACTTTTATGAAAGCACCACAGGCATGTTTGAGGGGAAGCAAACAGGGACCAATGCAATGCCAAGACCTCTCATATGTTAGGCAATCCTTCTGTGGGTTAGCATTGTGGGTAATGTTCAGTGTTCAGCTTCTTCCCTGTGCCCAAGTGCAGCTATTGATTCGTGCTCTGCACAGATTCTCACTGCACGCTACCAACTCTGAAAGACATGTAATGGAACATTTGTGTTCATAATGAGAGGATGTTCCAGCTCCTTTATTGGTAGTGTTAAACTAATTACATTAAGCGAGTGGGTACAACGGTTTTAAATGTCTAAATACAGACTGTTGTATTAATTTAAGGCTTTTATATCAAGTGATGGCTTCTGGTGGTTACTGAGTCAATAAGTGACACATTAACATGCTTATTTTCAAAGGCTGCATTGATCCATTGTACAAGTATTTAAAATGCTAAAGGGATTGGCAGGTGGATCGACGGGTTGATTGATTTCATGATAGATTGAGACATTAGATCAATGAATCTATTCTGCATTTCCTCTGGTTTCGTTGCATGGAATTGGGATTAGGTATCAGAGTATTATACAGGGAAGCAGAATACAGACACATTTGTGCATTTTATATTCCAGTGCAACCAATGATGTTTACTGAAAATCCTGAATAGAAATTATTTAATATGTGGATATAATAGATAGTTTATAGTAAATCTATAAAGCACAATCCATGCACATATATATATATATATATATGTTTATTAGTGGAATAGTCCACCAGACAGTTTGTATTTAATCTTTACTCTGCAAAACACAAGCTTCTCTTTTGCTGTATTACCAAGAAAACCCTTGAGAACATGTCTCAGGGTCTTAAAATTAAATATTTACACCGTTTCCCAGCTTCAGAAAACTTTACAGCATTTACTGCCTGGGGAGTTGTATGTAAGCATGAGAAAGTGCTTCAGTTAAGACAGCTTGAAAAAAAACACTCAAACACACAGCAGCGTGAGTGATCAGCATGTGTACCACTGGATGGGAGGGAGTATGTGTGCTGTTTTCATGGCTTTGTGTGAGGGTTTGTTGCGTTGTTCTTTGCGAGAGCTACTGTACATGTGTATTAGTTTTTAACCACTCATAAGCAGTGAGTGATGCACCCACAGCTGCTCTGCACGGATTAACATTATGATGTCAGTGACTCCTCTGGACCAGAACGCACACAAAGGCTCTGGGAAGCCAGTGTGAAACTAAAGGGGAAGAATTTACAATTCTGGGTGTGGGGCACACTTACAGAGTGGCTGAGAGGAGGTCGGCCCTAATAGGATTTGTAAAGCTTTGCACTTCTGGCCGTTCATCACGTCTGGGAGCTACTGTCCTTCTCTTTTTCTTTTGTCCCTTTGGAAATGTGTTTTAGCAACTATGATGTCAATTTCCGAAACAAACTTTTATAATTTACTTTGAATAATTACTTCTGGGAGGCAGGGACTTGGTATGCTTAAAAAAGAGAAGATGGGATGAAGAAAGTCACAATTAGTTTTTTTGCTGTGAAAATAAATAAATAAAGTATAAGTGCATTATATGTTATGGGGTCAAAGCGAGTGACAGTGACAGCTTAGAGTTCATCCATTTACCAACACCTCTCGTGTGTGTAACCTTGGAATACAGTATACAGCGTCAGAAAATGCTGCTTGTAAATGCATTGAAGTGACGGCCAAGCAATATCAGATCACTTTTCTGTGAGCGAGATAATCACAATGAAAATGTTAGACTTCATCACAGGTCAGCAAGAGTCGGCTGACACATCAACAATATTGGCTTATCGTCAGTCATACTGCCTGCGACAGTGACTGTGTGAGATTGAAGATAAAAGCAAGTAAAGGTTCGTTTGGATGGAAGAATCCGCACAAGTCATTATCTCCAGACAAAGCCATGAAGAATAATGTGCCATCAAAAGGTCCCTCACATTACGCATGCCTCTGAAATGTCCCTGCTTGTTAACTGATATTTGACAGCGAAGAATGGTTTCACCTTCTGATATTATTAAGATGGAACAGACGAAACTGAAACCACGTCTCTGAGCTGCAGAGTCAGTTTAAAGTTCAGGCGTACAGCTCAGCAAACATTAATCATGCTGTCATGAAGTTTACTGATGTACTTTCCTTTTATCATCCTGTAACACAGTACAAACCTAATGAGGCTGTGTGTATGGGATTCAAATGGTTTACAGAGAGTGACACATTCTAAAATCCATGAAACTGGTGGCTGTTGAAATATAGTTATAAGTTATATCAGAATAAGTTTTACCATATTTCTTTTTCCATGTTTAATAACGTGTTTCTCTTTGCAGACACACTTCTGGATGACCTTCTGCTGACCTACCCAGTGTTCATGTCAACCAGTGATTTATGTCAAGCTCTGCTGGGACAATATCCTTGAACACGAGAGGTTTTATGGGAACATTATTACAAAGATTCACACAGACTGTATAAACCCTCATGAGAGGATGCTGCACACACAAATGGATGTTTTATACAAGCAAAATCAACTCTTCACTGACTGAAAGCAAACTGTCTTTCTTTCCACCTGCGTTTACATCAACATCACACACACTAGATCTATTCAGGCTTCACATTCTGCATTTGCTAGAGCTCGCTCACTGTATTCCACTTGTGCTGAAGCCTTAACCCAACCCCACCTATTGCACCAAGAAATGCAGAGGGAAAGAGGACAGGAAGGAGGCGCTGGAGAGGAAACGAAAAGTCCTGCACCTGGCGTCGCAGTGGATGTCTCTCTGCAAAGACTTCCTGAGAGACGACGAGCACGTCAAACTCTTCATGAAGGTAGGGAACGTAATGTTCAAGGAAACGGGTGGAAACTGGGCGTGAGGAGAAACAAAAACTGTCATTTCCTTCCAGACTTTGTGCCGTTACGTGTTGGACGACCTCTACGAGCACCCAGCCCTGGAGACAGATGTGATGGAGCTGCAGAAACTCTACCAGTTGCATCGCAGACAGTAAGTGGCCATGTTAAAACTCACATAAGATATAAATCCAGAAATGTCTGGGTGGGTAAAATATCCAGTATAAGAACTGTAACTGTTGGAAGTCTGCAAAGAAGCAGAGACACTGGCTGCTCCCTGAATACAAAGAAGGAGCTTCTTCTCTGCTTGGTGCTTTTATTTAGCTCCTCATCAATGAATCCTTTCAGACATTGAAGAGTAATCGCAGTGTTCATGAGCTGAAATATGAAGGTCATGGATCTTTTCATCTTGAATTAAAAGTCGAAGAAATACAGGAATTGTGAGAATTAATTAAAAGCCGTAAGAAATGAGTCACTTGCCATGAGAGGGAAAGAGCGCCACCAATTGTTTACTGGACACAAATTCATTTCTGCTGGTTGTTAATGGTCACAAATGTATTAATCACTATAAATAGTAATAATAATAAAATCATTGTGTGATTTAGTCCTTAATCTAATATAATCCCCACACAGCACTGATCTAATGTACTGGGTTGTTATCAGCTCTGTTACTGACCTTTCAAAACAGAATGTGTTCTGGCTGTAATGTGACCGGTCCACATTAACATCATCATTCCCACTGTCATTTATATTGATTCACTTATGACTGGTCGCTAACTCAGCAATGTTACCTTCCATGAAAATGATCCCAGGGAGAAACACACAATGAGGTTTACAGATTTTCAGTTTAGGAAAAAGAAACTATCGATGCTCTGTGGTAGATACACTGAGTTGATTTAGTATCGGGGGACATACAGACAGATGTAATACAAAATATTACCATCAAGTAATACTGATAATAATCACTTTTGCAGATTTTGTGCTGAGTTTATCTTAGCTTCTGTTTTACTGAGAGAGACCAGAGTGTGCCACGCCTTCATAAAATGCACACTGGACTCTTAGATTCAGTTTATCTTTATTTCAGTTTAAATAAAGAATAAAAACCAAAGTCAGAAGTGTAACCAGGCCCTCACATGCCAAAAATGTGATCTGAATGTGCCTGATATGCTCTTTAAGATCTATGTAATATTGAAAACATGAAAAAAGTTAATTATTCCCTGACTCATAAAACATCCTTCCATCAAGGTTCCTGATAATCACCCAGTAGTTCTGTGTAATGCTGATGAAAACATAATCTAGTGTCGATCAAACCTATTTAAATCTATCTGCACCTTCACTATGTTTAATTCTTATTACCACATGAAGTGAAAGGAATGATTTTCAAGTTATAGATTGGTCACTATATCAGAGGAGATTATATATATGAACTATATATGTACTGTATAGATAAGTCTTGTTCACAAATAGACAAGACAAAGAACAGATAGAAACATCACTGCATCAACCAGTCCTTCATAACAACAGATATGTAACACTGTAACATTCAAGCAAACAGATCTTTCAATTGGCATCAAACAATCTAAAATATTGATCTGTTTTGTTGCTTAGCTACAGCTTCCTTGTTTTAATAAAATAAATAACATCATCACCCCCCCAGTCCCCAGACACATTGCCACACCCCTGTCCAACTCCCCTTCCCTCAACTGCATCCTCCAATCCTCCAATCCTCCAATCCTCCGTGTCCCCGGGGACGCCCCAACCTGCCACCCATTAGAAAACAGTGCAGATAATTCAACCTGGCTCTGCCGCTATTGTCTGATTCTGCTTTATTCATGTTTATGTCCAGGGTGGGAGCTCTGCAACACCCACTCCTTATAAAGTAGTGGACATAGTGTGGGTGTTGCTAACTGACATACACTACTATTTATGAGCTTTTCACAATCAACCTCATCCCGTGGGAGGACGAGGCCGAACTGCTTTGTGGCAATCTGCCGCTGAGTGAAAGCTAAAAGGTGTCATTTTTCATGGAGAGAGGACTCTTTAATCCTCTCACTGACTTCCATCTGGTGCAAAAGAAATAAAGGTCGAAATGTTCCTGAAAGCTCCTGAAACCACACCACCACTCGTTTCTCTTTCGCTCTCTCGTCCCGTGGCCTTTTAATTCACCGAGCTTATCGACATCCACAGTGACTCTGCTTTTTGAAGAGAAACCCAGCGAATGTGATCTTGAGCCGCGTGTTGACATGACGTGGGGAGTCAGGTTTTTCATTAGTGCAGGTCTGCTGCTGGCCGGAGAGTGGGGGGGATCCCTCAGGGCAGGCTTTGTGCCAACATGCCTATTGTGATGCAGGGCCCAGTAAAAGCTGAGGGATGATAATGGACACAGTGCTATCCATCATGCTAGCGGGGAGTAACTGATGAGAATACGGTGATTAAATGAAGAGGTCTAAAATCTGCAGTGCACTCTAATCTCGCCTCAACACATGGGCTTAAATAATGGACTCTGCAGAAGAGTACATACTGTATGTATATTCACTTTACTTGAAGGCTGCATGATGACTTTATACTAATCACCAGATCGGGTTTTTCAAGGCACATTACAGGTACATCATGGTGCACGTCACTAATGTATTTCTTCTTCTTTTTCCAGTACGGTAGATGAATATTCACCGCAGAGAAAGGTGAGTTAAAAAATCTCTTTTTTGACACTAATACAGAAGGAATTTATTGAACAGAGCTGGCTGTTCCTCAGAATTGGGTGTTGAGCCCATTGTCCTCACATTTCCTGCTGAAGACATTGTTCTGCGGTTCAACCGCTGAAGTCACAGTTCCCACGAAGCATGGATGTAAGTCAAAATCCACGCATTTCCCTTCTTTTCAGAGCAAAGCACTTTTCCACCAATTGAGCCTGAAAGAGAACGGGCTCCAGTCCAGAAGCATACAGAGGGAGACCAAGGATGGTAAGTCGTAAAACATGGCGTTCTTCACACATTCCTCCTGTCATACGTTGTTCCTGAGGCTCTTGAGGGGAGACATTTAGTCTGAACATTAGAACAATGGGAGTCTTTCCAGAGAAGGTTTAAAAAATGCAAATACCTCAGTTATGACTTCTGAATTCCCCTTTCCTTTTCAGATAAGGCTTCTCTTAAAGGCCAGATTCACCTGCTGTGTATTTTATAATTGACTGTACTGAAAGTATGTTTGGTCTCTGTTGCAGTGCTGTGTCATGTGTACATCACTATGGACTCGTACCTGAGCACGAAGGCCCATGCTGGAGTAGTGGCCGAGGAGCTGCTGCAGGCGCTGGCAGAGAGGATGGATGTCCCCCAGGGGGAACTAGTACTTGTAGCTGTGACTTATACTGGAGGTAGATACCATTCTACTCAACCACATACACACCACTGAACCCTACATACAACTACAATGTAATGCATATTTGATGATGTAGACATGAAGTGTGTGTTTCCTGGTGGATTTCATTATATATTCTTATAAAAAACAAAACACGGAATGACATTTTAATGCTAATGTACTATCCAGTCTATAATCAATCACAATAAGCAACACTGGAGGGACAAGTCATCAGCAATCCTGTTTAAATCGGCTCCAACACGACAGAAAAGTCATTACACCGCTCACTTCCTCACAATGTTTCACACTTGTTTTCCTATATTGAGCCCAGACATGTATGTATGTGATTGCAATCAACAGAGCTGACCTAAATATATCCTGAGGAGGAAACCGTTTAAAGGGCACAGTAATACAAACTCAGTCTGTTATCAGCTTTTGAAATGACATGGCGACCTCATAGCGGTACCTGACACACACACACAGAGTCTTATCTCTAACTGCTGATAACTGCGTACACGCCATCAACAATTTTTTAACAGCACGCTGTTGTTTGTGATGTGTTTTTCTCCCCCCGCAGGTCGACTCCTCCTGCAGCCTCAGGACCGAGTTTTCTCTGATTCTCTACGGCCGGTGGGGAGGTTGCACATATGCAGGAAGGACCTGGGAGAAGTTCAGGTAGGAACATCACTGCTCCGTGTCACTTCAACCCAAACACGCATTTACTGTAGTGTCAAAGTAGTGACCTCTGTTTGCTTAGAGGCAACGAATAATGATATTTCAAAATCAGAATCTGGTTTATTTGGCCAAGTGAGTAAGAAGACAGGACACTGGTTCTGGGCGATGGTGACACTCTACAAATACAACACAATATACAGACAGTGTACATAGTATTTAATTGAGGTTCTGCTAGAAGCTTAATAACTTCATGGTCATAAAATGTAACATGAAACTTGAGCAATTTTATGTCAAAATGTTTCTTTGGATGATCATTTCATTCTTTTAGGTGACATTTGTGAATAACAGCTTTGATCGTTGATTGAAATCATTTATTTTCCTCTTCCAGTATCCATTCACAGACAACTCAGAGCTGCAGCAGAGGACGGCTCGCATGTTCACGTTAAACACATGGGACGTGGCCGTCGCTCTGACCAACTTCGACTGGTCCATCTTTGACTCAATACATGAGGTTTGTCCCACTGTTGAAAACATTGGGTTTTTTTCATTCCTGTTTGTATCTTAGTTAGTAGGACTATTCAAAAAGTAATTAACCATTTTCGGAGACATTTCATGGAGGGGTGGGAAATGACCCAAGGATGAACGCCAAAAAGAACTTATTGAAATGATTGAAATCAAATAAATCTTGACAAAAGTGTCCTGACTTAAAATCCCTGCAGTCCTTAAGGGTCATGACTGTCAGAAGCACATTCCCTGTTTGTTCATCTCGTACTTATCCTTCTTTTTCCAGCAAGAACTGGTCTACTTCACCTTCAGCCGCCATGCCAGCAGTCACCACACTGTGGCGTTAGAGCTGCTGCTGCAGCGCTGCAATGAGGTCCAGCTGTGGGTGGTCACTGAGGTGCTGCTGTGCCAGACGCTCTGCAAGAGGGTCCAACTCATCAAGAAGTTCATCAAGATCGCCGCCCAGTGAGTAGCACGCTCACATCCCTGTGCATTTTGATTAGTATTGTATTGATTGTGATCATAAACCCGCTGCTCCTCTCGCTGCTGACCAAAACTCTGATCTGGAGGGTGAGAGGTTTAGATTTGCATGGGAACGCTGCCCCCTCCAGTGGCAGATCAATAAACTGGATATGCTGTCGAGCCCCTGGAAGTAACTGCAATGTGTGCCCATTGATCTTTTATAGCTGTAAAGCACAGAAGAACCTCAACTGTTTCTTCGCCATTATAATGGGCCTGAACGCTGCAGCGGTCGGCCGCCTCAGTCAGACATGGGAGGTGAGAATGTCCTTTTTTTTCTCCTGACGGGCAGGAATTCTTTTTCATCTGCACCACTGTAAATCTTTACTGCATGACGTCTGATCCTTCTTTTCCCTCTGCAGAAAATTCCGGGGAAATTCAAAAAGCTCTTTTCGGAGCTGGAGGCAGTTACAGTAAGTGTGACTCATGACACACAGTTCGTACAATACACAGTACAACGCATCTGTTGCCTTTAGAAGACATGAAATGAAAATCAATGACATTAATCTACAGTGTAACAGCGAACACGCAGCCGTGTTTCAGTGTATATAAGGTGAAGCAAACATTTTTTTCATTTGGAAACATCAGGCGAAACATCTGGTGTTTTAGATGATCATTAGTTCCCAGCGCGGCCATAATTCAGCTCTAACAAAGCATGTATGCACAGGCACACACATCCCCCCCAGAGGATTAGACTCATTCGTTCTGAAAATGTCTTCACAGGATCCCTCGCTCAACCACAAGGCCTACAGGGACTCCTTCAAGAAGATGAAGGCGCCAAAGATCCCCTTTCTTCCTCTGCTACTGAAAGGTGCGCTCATTATTCTGTCACCTCGCTCACTACTCAACATCTGGCAGAACTGACCGGAGAAACAAACCCACACTTCTAATACACTAACAAAATATTCATCTGTTTCAGACATCACATTCATCCACGAGGGAAACAAGACGTTTCACGATAATCTGGTCAATTTTGAAAAGCTGGTGAGTGATTTTTATAGCACTGCATGGAAACAGCGCAGGAAACATACAGGAGTGCTGAATTGAAGATGTCATGTTTAATGACGCCTGTGTTCATCTTTATTTCCAGCACATGATCGCAGACGCAGTGCGGCTCATTCGACAGTGTCAGAGAGATCACATGGGTCAGTATTCACGTCACGGTGTGAGATACTCAGGAACCACACACCACAACTTTGTGTGAAGTAATGTTTCAAAATATATACAGTATAAATAAAATGTGTAAAATATAAATTGTACATGTTAAAAGTACTGTATATAAGTTATATATCTTTTCTCAAATTTCACAGATTATAGAAATCACTTCCCTAAATATGTGGGATTTTTAAAAATCAAGATTTATAAATTTTATTCTCAGTGAAAATTATCTCGCATCCCCAAATCCAGATCCGCTCCATAATGTAATGGGTTGTTTCTTGACTCATTCTTCCACCAAGTTAAGTGATAATCTGTCCTGCAGTTTTTGCTTAATCTTTCTTAAAGAACCAAGAAACAAATGCACAGGGGGAAATATAACCTCTTTGCCGGAGCTAATAACAAACTAAGTATTAATTTATCCTTTCCTAAGAAAAGTGGGAGAAGAACAGGAAATGCTTCCCTGGAAGAAACACTTAAAAACACTTTTTCTTCTTCTTCCAGGAAACGGCATCACTCAGAAGAGCAGCCCTGAGGTGCGAGCCTACATCGATTACCTTCATATCATCGACAATCAGCAGACTCAGTTTGAACTGTCACACAGGCTGGAGCCTCGTGCTTAGACAGCAGCTCCCACTGTGCTTCTCATCGCCACGGAAACAATCCTCCCCCCTTCCGTCTCCTCTATCTCTCAGGACTCAGTCAGAGGAGCACTGCGTGACCCTGACCGACCACAGGAGGGAGCTGCTCAATCAGGAATCTCTCACCAGAGACAGGAAGATGAAGAAGACGCATCTTAGGTTTGACTTGTGTAAACCTGCTGAGAACATTCAACACAAGCAGCAGGTGTTGATCCGTGTGTGTGTGTGTGTGTGAGCGTGTGTGTGTGTGTGTGTGTGTGTGTGTGTGTGTGTGTGTGTGTGTGTGTTTTGCTCTGCTGCTGCTCCTGCTTCTCTGTCCTACAGAGGAGTACTGGTCTGAAAATAGCCCAACAGCGCCCCTCTGTGGTGAACCAGTGACCTGCACAAAGAAGTGTTGGCAGGTCAAGTCCCTCACATCCTATAAAAAGCAACAAAAAATGAATGTGGACAAAACGAGTTGGATCATTCTCGACCAATCACCTGCCTTTTCAGAGCCTTTACAACAGACCACGTCACAGACACGAGTCTAACAGACACGTTGCATCTTTATGTTTCCACAGACTGTGTGAATGAATTTGGCGACAACAGAAAGTCACAAGATTTAACCAAAGAGTATTTCAGTCCTGTGCTGTGCACACACCTCTGTTTCCTCAGAGTGTCGTACAACCCAGATGTTCCCCTCGGCCTGAAGCTGGACGTGCAGTCACCTCCCAATCAGCACAGTGTTTGTATTACAAGCTGACGTCTCGAGACTTAAGACACAGAGAAAAGTATCAAACCAACACATATTATTATTATTAAACATTCTATCAAACGTTTTCATTATTTATTCAAACGGTTTCCTTTTGTTTGAGGTGCAGTGAAGTTGTTGAGCCTTTACACAGGTCAGATAGTTCAGATAGTTTGGTGTATGAGTGTCTGTCAAATGTGTGTGTGTTCTAATCATGTACATTAGTGCCAAATACCATAAAAATGCTCATTCAAAATAAAAAATACCTGCTAATCTTTTAGCGACATTGTCGACATTAGGATCCATGTAGTTGAGCTTTGGACAATCAGTGAAATTAAACAGCAGTGACATCTTGTTTCTTTATATTGGCTTCAGATTTAAACACAATATGGATTTTTTCCTTGTTTCAAAGGTTCAGACGTGCAGGAAGTTTTGTTTTGATCCGTTCAGGTTTCGCTTTTGCTTTTGGACTGAGGGGGTGCAGCGACATGTGGGACAGCAGACACACAGCTTTGCCAACAGCAAACTGTCTATGATTGAAGAGCAATAGCGAAAACAAAACTGCAGCACCTTCTGGAGAAAATATCGAAGCCATTTGCTCGTGAACAATGTGTTTTACTGTTTACACCTGGAGAGCTCGTAGTCATAAGATGGTGTTTAGTCTCTAAGTTGATCAGTAGAAATGTTCTTGCTCCAACATGAGGTCATTCTGAGGTGAAGAATTGAGGTGTCAGTGAAATTCTTCTTTATTTTCTTTGTATATTTTTGCATTTTAAAGCCGATGGTGAACTTTATCCTTAATTACCATTTTTATCATCAACAATGTACAGTTCATTTTATTTATACTGTATATATTTATATACATGTTTAAATTCTGGATACGGATATTTATTTATTTCAGAATTATTTATTTGTTCTACAGATATTACAGTTTCATTTCTGTTTGATTTGTTTTCTTGTACGCACTGTTTGGGTTGGTCTGCATGAAGTGGTCAAACCATGGATCGACCACCTCTGTCCACTGTGCATGCAATAAAATATTTTTCATCATCATGAGTAAAAGCTTTTTTCTCCATGTTGAATATGATATGACATTCACAATTCTGAATTCATAAGATGAATCCAGGTAAACAGATCAGATGTTTGTAGTTAAAGCTCACAGTCTTTTTAGAGATTGATTCCACTGTCTGATGCTAATTCAAAATGCAAAATCAACTATCACAATTTAATTATATTTAGAATAATCTTGACCATTAAAACAGTGAATGTTGTAATTCCACATCATCACAATCTGAAGTTTGTATAATCAGTAACTTCTCGTGTTGTGGTTTTTAATGAGGTAAAGGCTAAGACATATAAAGTTAATGTAGTTAACAGAGAGTCAGTAGTGACACAAAGGAAAACTGAAGGGAGTGAGTGAGAAAAAGTAGGATCTACATGTCGTGCTTACATCGTGCATTTTACTAAACGAGTTACCACAAACAAATTGCTAATACATGCAACAAAGAGAGAGGGGAAGATGTTTTATTTTATCTGCAGATCCAAGGAGGTCCTCAGAATCTAAAATAGTTTTTAAGTATGAATATACTATTCTAAAAATAAATACTGGTTTTGGTAATAGTACTAATTTATAATGAGGAAAGATATTTCATTTCCCATGATATGAAACCGTACCAGCTCTATTGCAGAAACTACAGAGAGTTTACCATGAAACTTGGTGGTAGGATGTCAAATGGGTCAGACAGATCAAATTCAATTTTGGTGCAGATCCAGATCAGGGAAAAGACCCAGGGTTTGTTTACACTCTCTTTAACATGCAGGGTCGTTGTGGCTTCTAAGAGAATAATTCATGGATGTTGATGGAAAAAATCAGGAATATTTAAGGCACTGATATTTATGAGTGTGTGTAATTTGGTGCAGATACAGATAAAAATCCAGGTCTAGTAAATCTAAATGTGGTTTCAGTTGGACTCTTGTATATTAAAATACTACAGCTGGAGGCCTGCACTGTCAATGCACATGGTGAGAACCAGTTTCTTCACATAATCAGCGACTTCTAAAAAGCTAAAGATGTGAGATCTTTGTTCTCTTCTTTTTTTTTTTTGGATTATCAAACCATCGGAACACAATGCTCCCTCCTCAGCTGCAGCGAGGCGGAGGTGTGACCCAGATGCCCTTTGCTGCCTTTAACCAGGTGTCCTGCTTGGCCTTTAACATGACTATCTGTGGCACAACCCCTGCTGCGCCGCGCCCCGCACCCTGCCATTTCCTCCCAAACACCGCCGGCACTGTATCATTTCCCTGTCACCAAATGACTGGCTAGCTGCTATGGTGCGCTAATGAGGGGAAGAGAGGGCAGATGAAGAGACGCTACAGGAAGACTGGTTCTTCATTTCCCCAGCGCAATACAATACACGGAATCAATCCTCCGTCCTCCACTTGTCTGTCTGGAGCCACTTTGGCTGCAGGGAGAAATTAAGAGCAGCACAGCAGTGTTATTAGTGCTGGAGGAGAAAATCTCATTTGAGGAGATAAGACTAAGACCCCCTCCCCCCCCAAATTGTACATCATATTGTCACTTGTTTATCGCAGCAGATAACATCGCACCTGTTTCTTCACGGGTGTAAACATCATGATGCTTCTACGACTCTCACACAGTCTGTTTGCAAAAACCAAAACAAAGGGAATAAAATAAACTTGCTTTGTTTCCTAAATGCAAATGATTGGTTCTGACACTTTCTCTCCTGAGCGGTTTGATCTCAGCGTTTCTGCAGGAAGCAGCAACTTATATTTAAGACTTTTAAAGACCATAATGAATTAGAGTTATGAGCAGTGTCGGGGATATGAAGGAATATTGGAGTCCTAAAATTACTTCCACTTGAAATCCCACGTTATCTCTCAAACTTCAGGCAAAGACAGAAGGTATTCACTCCCACAGCCGAGCCAATGTCGCCAAAACATTTAAAACTCTAAAGCATAACAGAAGAAGCATTAAATGAATGTGAACATATTAAAGGCCTCAAATTGAGATGATTGAGTTTAAGACTTTTTAAGACCCTGCAGGAACCCTGGATCTCCACCTTGCCTGTGGACCTTAAAGCATAAACTTCCAATGCACAACTTCTTTAGAATATCTACATAACAGTCAAACTTTGATCTGAACATCTTGGTTTTTAATTAAACTCGACCACATCAGATAAAAAACAACATGTGAGAACAGATAAGGAAACTGTGTCTGTAGAGGTTTTATTTGGTTCTTATTAAGTTCATCAGATGCTAACAGAGACCGCAGACAGATAAAGGATGGGTAATCTAATGTGTTGCTTTCTCATGGAACCCAATCAGAGTCTTTGAATAGGTTTTTCTCCAACAGGCCCCGGCTGAATGAATTACACTAGTCTGTTAGTATTCTGCCGCTGCCGTACAAAAGGTCAATGTCAAATGCACCTCATTTAAAAGTCAATAGCGACCATGCACATCATCTCCTGGGAATTCTGTCCGGGAACCCTCCAGACGGCATTGTGTATCATTCAGTTAGCAGAGGGCAGCCAGGGAGCTTTTTTAATCTTGACCTTCCAATAAAATATGCTCCCTATCCAGAATTACATGGTCTCAAATGGAGACATAAGCTCCCAACAAATCATGCTGAGACTGAACCATCTCGAGGGAGAGGTTCAACAGTGTCGCACAACAGACACAACAGGTTCGACACGGATCTCCGCTTCATCATCTCTACTTTATCTTTAAATCTAAAACACAAACATACATTCAAAAACTGTTGTTATACATAAACCAAGATTAACAATCTTTATTTTTTGTTTATATATTTGTAATTATCACACATGAATAAGGGGAACTTTTTTCTAATACATAATTCAATTCTGTTTAAAAATGACTATTTTTATAACATCCTTGTTTTTAATATATATAAAAAAACTTTATATCAGAATACTGTTGGTAAATACTGAAGAAAATCACACTGAGTTTGGATTTTAAAGATGGACGATGCGTCTCTGCTTCCTCCCACTATCCAGAATGAAGCCAAAATATCCCTGATACAAACGCTGCATGTCAAGCCAGAACCTTCCAGTAGTGATCGGGGGGGGAGTCATAGCAGCAAGGTCTTGCCAAGACCAATCCTGGGTCAGTCTCAGCTGTCCGTCATGACCTTTCACCTCATTTTCATAGCATCAAATAACTCATTTCAAATGAAACCTACCAGAAAAAACAACACTTGAATATCATACATGTGGGATAAGAACTATCTCTAATGTATTAGACATGTACTTTGACTTTTTCGTTTGGTCCATGTCCCATCCACTAACATGGAGGAGTTGATGATACATTTTAGCCAGCCACCAGGGGGCAATTGTGACACTTTGGTCAATGCTTGAAGTCGGGTTATTTTCTCAGACTTCGATAGAAACTGACCAGTGCAGTCGCCCTCTGCTGGTCATTCAAGTGAACATCGGTTTCACGCAATTCCACATTGGCTTCATTTTCTACACCCAGAGTCTAAATCCAGTTTTATATACTGTGTATGTATGAAACTCTGAGGGACTCACTGCCTGCCACACATGACGTCTCACACAGACAGCAGCAGAGCCACGCCGGCAACAATCCATTTCGCAGGAGGCTGTTTGGTTCGGAGGTGGAGCGTCCACACATACGTGGACCCGCGCTGCTTAGTGCGGTACACCGGACACTCGTAAGTACCTTCGAGTTCCTGCTCCTCCGCGGGCACAGCTCTAACGTACAGCACTGGCATGGCCGGGGTCAGATCCCTCAAAACCGCCTCCGAGATAATGCCATCCTGAGTGTCCCAGCATGCTCCTGGAGGGACACAGGACACAGATTCTCATTTTACCAGTGTAAATATTTTTTAAAAATCGATATGATATCATAGAATTCAGTAGAACGTATTGGAGGTTGTGAGGTAGTTCTAACCTTCCATGAACAGTCCGTGGATGTAGGCTCCCTCCCGCGGCGGATGTCCAAAGTCGTCTTTCGTCTTTTTTGTCACATCCACAGTCAGAGTCATCTTATCCAGAGGCCACTGATTCTTCCGTGCGATGCTCTGCAGCACAGCTAGAGACGAATCAATCAATCTGCATGTTAATATTTCTGGTGCACACATCTTCATTCACTGTCACAAAGTGGGGCCTCACCTGTGAGAAAGGACTGAGGATTGAAGAGACCTGGGAGCCAAACAACTGCCGGGAGAACAAAGTCCTGAGTCCAGCTGTCCAGCTCATGGCAGCTGATTATCAAATCACCAAACCTAATGGAAACAAACATAAATTCAATCTATTGTGCCTGAAGCTGTTACAACACAAGGGTCATGCTAACATTGTTTTAATCTAAAATATATTTTCAGATTTTACTTCACGGCTTATTGCTGAATTGCTCCTCCTCTATGAGTCTGGGCTCCTCAGCCAGGACTCTGCTGCCTGCACCTGACTCCCACTTCAGGTTGAGGTCAGGGCCCCTCAGCTCCTCAACTTAGCATTTATCTTCATTGTTGGGGTTTTTATTTCTTTTTAGTCAATTCCATAAATTCTCTGGAGTTTGTATTGCTTGGTTTTATTGAGTCAATTTATCAATCTTCTGTTTCAGACTTGTAAAGCACTTTGTGACTTTGCTTTATTAATACAGGAAATGTACTGTTATTTTAAACCACAGTTTTATGTGGACAGAGCAGTTACCATTGTGCAAGTGTTTTAGTAGAGGGATAAGCCAGTCGAGCCCAAGAGCCTGGGACAGAATCACTGAACAGGGCCGACTGCAGAGTCTCCATACTGGAAGAGATCGTGAGGTCTCCCTGTGAACAGAGAAATCCTCATTAAAGATTTCACTGTTCATAGAACAGATGTGTGTTAGCAGCAGATTTACAGCAGACTGTACCTTCAGACCAAGATCCAGCTCATTGAGGGACTTCCTCATTTCTGCGAGCAGGAGATTCATTCTTTCACACTCCTGGAGACACACTAAAACATAGGGGCTTCGCTCTGTCGCCTTTGTGAGCATCTCTCCCATATTGTACTCCTCTGGAAGCCTCTCCAGAATGTCTTCGATGACAGACTTGACCTAAAAATACAACAAACATGGTTAGGTATGTATATACATGCAGCATCTGTTGCACTTCTGTCTGTCCTGGGAGAGGGATCCCTCACATGTGGCTCTCTCTGAGCTTTCTATGTTTTTCCCCTGTTAATAGTTTTTTTTGTTAGTTCTTCCTCACTCTTGTTGAGGGTTAAGGACAGAGGATGTCACAACTTGTTAAGCCCTATGAGACAAATTGTGATTTGTGAATATGGGCTATACAAGTAAAATGTGAGTGATTGCTAAAGGTCAGCGTTGCTTTTTTCTCGTAATAGTCTCACCCTCTCCTCTGAGCTCTGAGCCGCCCCCTCTCCTCTGGAGGAGTCCTGCGGCTGCAGTTCCAGCAGAGTCCTGAGGAGGTTGTCTGAGGTGACAGTCAGGCAGTCCAGCTCAGCGTTTGGATGGAGCCCGTACAGAGTGGGATTCTCAGAGGGAAGATGCTCGTCAATGTAACTGTGGTAACCACTGTAGTCCGTGAACGGAGGGGCCAAGAACCCAGGACACAGAAAGAGCTCCCCTTCGAACTAAGAAATTAAAATTTAAGAAAACAAACATTTAGCGAGAAAGCACATTTTAATATTTAAAATATTACTCATAGCCACAATTGACATGGTGAAATTTAAACTTAAAAAGCCCTCGTAAATAGTTTATCCAGTGTGTTTGAATTCCATCAGCTACAGTTGAAGCTCCTACAAAGTAAAAGTACCCAATAATCCTCTATTACTGCCTGTTACAGTCGTTTGTCATGAGGGCAGAAACAAGAGCAACAGCAAAGACTTGAAGTGCAACACTGCAGTTTAGGTTTACATCTCAAGAGGGCACCATTTACCTTGACAACACCACAGAGAAACTTAAACCTGCACATTTTCTTCACCACAAAACTGAACACGATCCTACATTAAGTCTGTATCAAAAATTAATGAGTTGAATAAAATCAACATTTTTTGTTGAAAATAATAAAGTGAAACTGGTTTGAATTAATAGTGCATTCGATTTGTTAAAACCAAAATAGATTTTTCGTGGACTACAACATGAAAACTGACTCACCATTTTGGGATGCATGAATTCTTTCAGGTAGGTTTTACACAGTCTTCTGTCCCAGTCGTCGGTGATGTGTCCTCCATACATGATCTCTCCAAACAGGAAACACAAGTCCTCCCACGGCACCTGCATGGACTGTAATAGTTTGGAGCCAAATATAAAATTAAAATTAGAATAATAATAATAATAGAGTTTAAATAATTAGGAGCATCTCTAATTTTTAAGACTAAGGACAAACCTTTGTCATATCAATTTGTTCTGCATTATTCCACTTCTTTGAAACTTCAAGCAGTAACTATATGATCTCTTACATCAAATGAGCTCTTTAAATAAAGATAACTGGGGAAATGTAACAAAATTATGTTTCTTTACACAAACTGATCTGAGGTATGACAGAAGTGTCTTTTCCTCAGTGGGAGATTATGATCCGTGAGGGTGAAGGAGGAAGAAAAGAATCTGTGATTCATAACAAATTACAAAAGCTGGAGGTTCACAATCATTTGTACCTGTATTGTTTTGCAAATTGCTTCCTTCATCAGCTCTAATTGCAGTGATCACTTATGTAGCGTTGTGAACTGTCACATTGGCTGCATGTAATTACATTTAGGATAACGCTTCATTGCCCTCCTAATGAATTCTCTGTATACGCACATACAGGTTACTGTTTGGTTAACATAATGAAGGACATTCGTTTTTGGAGGGCAGAATACCTCTGAGACATAATTGGTTGTGACCAGAGTAATAGGAGTTGTAAGAGAAATGCATTAGGAGCTGTGAGGGTTGCAGCACCCTCCGAATGGATTTTTTGTCTTCATGAAATAAAGCTAAATTATAGGTTGTGTTGTAAGACAAGGAGAAAAAAAGATAAGGAATGAACTTTTTCTTCACAAATAACAGTTGAACAAAAGATTTCAATAAATAATGAGACACTGTACTGTAATTTAGCATCTCTGCCAATAATGCTACTGCCAGCACCATTATTAAAATACATTTACAGGGGGTAAGAAAGTGGGAAAAGAAAAAAACTTAAACTTTTGTGAATGTGAATAAAATATTGAAAAATATTGGCAAAAAATACTTTGCTGTTGGCTTCTAAGTAGTTGTACAAGATGTTTGCTGAGATGGTGAGGTCTCCTGTGCTGATTGGGTAGTTATGGTTCCACCCTTGGGAACCAAATTTACGGCGCTCTGTGACACAAGCGTGAAAAAAGCAGAGGGAGAAAAACATTGAGTTGAACTCCTGTTCCCTGGAACACAGATCCAAAGTGTCCTGGAAAGAGAAAGAGAGAAACATTACACTGAATGCAATTGAATGTTACAGTTTTTAAGACATTATTTTAAATTTTCATCGCACTTGACTGAAGTTGTTTAGGGCCGCGTGCAGACTGGCGTTCATGCCGGTGGGTGGCTCATTGGTGATTTTGATGGAGTTCTCCAGTATTCCTCTAGGGATCACGTGCTTCTCAGGACTTGACGCTGGTTCCCCGGTGATGAAAACTCTGTAGTTGGGGTGACTGTCGACTGCTGCTGTCTCCAGAAGAGAATCTAGAGAGGGCAGCCAGCAAGCCACGAGGTGTACGTTCTGGAAAACAGAAATTCAAAAACGTTAAGAAAAGTAGAGGAGCACTAGATATAGATTTTTTTGGGGATCTACACCAAATTGCTCACACTTCTAAATATCAGTCCCCAAAACGTTCCTGATTTCTTTTCATCAAGATCCATGAATTATTCTCTGACAAATCCTGGATGCACCCCATGATCGGGATCCGCACCAGAAATAAATGGGTTCTTTCCTGGCGAATACCTCATTCGTGGTAGTACATCCAGTCGTTTTTGCGTAATCCTGCTAACTAACCAATAGACACTGATGAATACATAACCTCCTGGGTGGAGATCAGGGATATTATATTATACGTAAATATAGTTACTTTTGGTTTAAAGTTATATTTTTTTCCTATGAGGAAGATTCATTATGAAAATCTCCCTGTGTTCTGGGTAAGTACGAAGTGACTTGGCCGCAGACTTTAATGGAGCTAATGTACCCAATTATGAGTTTTATTGAACCAAATTGAGTTTATTTCATTTGCTCAGGGGGTGAGATAATATGATTATATGCATTAGTACCAGCTGGCTTGAAGATTAGCCCGATGTCACCTCAGTAATCTAGTCACTAAATATGAAAACTCCCTACCTGCAGAATGACCCAGTGGCCCAGTTTAGAAGCGTTCCTCAGAGCCCGCTCCGCCACCTCTTCCTGCCCCTGTCCCAGAGACACATTGTGCAAAGTGCCCTGGTCGATGGAAAACCCCAGCTTCAAACCTGCAAAGAAAGAAAATTGTGAAAATGTACCCAGCCAAGTGATCAGGATGTGTAAATATCAAGCAACATGCATGGTACCTAGTTTCTCCACATCTTTCAGTGGATCCACTCCAGGTGAGAGGATAAAGAACACGGGGGTGGAAGGGCCACTTTCCTCAAACAACTTTTCAAATTCCACTCGGGCAGCATCCACGTATTTTGTTCCCATGTTCTCCTCCACAAAGTTCCTGTCAGTAAATGTTTTTTCTTATATCAGATAGATGAACTGTTCAACACTTACAAATGTAACGCGGTCATTTACTCACCTCAGAGTATAGGTCATCCTGTCAGGGCGAAGCGCTCTGAGGATAATGAGCTTCTGCAGGAAGCTCTTGTTCTTCCAGTCCTGGGGAAGTCTTTCCTTTTCAGGACAACTGGATTCTACAACCTTCCTCCAGCGCTTCGGTGAACTCTCCATGTCTCTGTCCAGTCCACTGAAGTTCTCCATCGTAGATATTGTCTGAACTCAAAAAACAAACACTGTAAGACCTCTCTCGACAGTGTGAAATGCTATATACGGTGATATGTTAGTCTGTACTGTACCTTGATGGCTCCCCAGCTATGTGGAGAGAGGAAGGACACGGGACTATGTTTGCTCGCTTCCACAGGAAAACGCAGCAGGAAGTCAAATTCCTCAGCATCAATCAGGTCCTGTTTGAGTAGAATCTGATAGGAAAAACAGAGAGCAGTTTGTGTTGATCAATGTAGCATTGATCTCCGTTCAATCATTTCCACAACAACTGAAGATGACAAGAAAACTGACAAGGGGATCGGGTAAACTCGTACAGGCTGAAAAAGTACCTGTGAATGTGAAAAAGCCACATGAAGGACAGACGTCAGAGCACTACTTCTAAGGCGAAAAACAGTTGCCGCAATGACAGATAATTGCATTATGCCATCGGAACCAACCCCCTTGTCAGAACCAACTGTCTGAACCGCAGCCATGGATGGAATGTGTGAGAGGTAATCAATGGCAGCGTATGGCCCTCCTGACTTCTTTTAATTGAAGTTAATGTGGGGGCAGAAAAGTGCTTTGATTGATGAGGATGACAGGAGGCCCCACCTTTCAGGGCGGCCCTGAGTCCCTCACCTGGAAGGCGGTGTGTGACAAGAAGGTTAACTTGTCTCTCTCAAACAGGCCCTGGCAGGTGTACAGGAATACATAATAGGTGATGGCCTCTGTGAGGGTGTGCACTCTGGTCCTCACATCCTCGTCCCATTCTGCACGCTCCATCGCTTTGTTAAACACCGAGTTAAAGGTCTGAAACACAACAAAAGGGAGGATCAGTGCTTTCACAAGGAGTATCACGCAAACATAAAGCCGTGAACCCAAGCTCTGCACTCGGCTGAGGAGTAAACACATAACAAATACTGATGTTTTGGGGCAAAGAAACACATTTAAGCAGATTTTTTCTGATAAGTAAAATCTCAAGCCATTTTCTGACATGAAGTCTGGAAAAATGGGGTCTGGACATTTTCCAGAGTTTGCCTTTCACATATAAAGAAGGCAGCAGGAGATTCTTTGAGTGTTTATGTTTACAGCACATCAAACGTGCTATTGGCACATATCACCAAAATCTCTTCCAAGTGGACAGCGTCTTCTGCACCCTCAACGTGTGTGGCTCCTCTTTTATATATATATCTGTATTCTTATCTGTTTTTTCAGTTTTGTTTCCGTCGTGTTAGAAAAGTCATCAACCCTTGCTAGCTGTGAATCTTGCGGACAATATCCTGCTCTTTTCTTACATGGGCTCATCTGGATATTCAGGTTTTTACTATAGGGGACTGGCAGGAAAAACTCCAATGTAAAAAGCAGCTTTACTCATCCAAAGAAACAAGAAGAACAAACAGCACAGATTTAATAACACTGGTCAAGCATATTGAGTACTGTAGTGTTTGCTCCCTGAGAGCATTTCAAGCCCAAAGGTTTCACCTTGAGAGAATACTGGTACATGGGGTTAATCTTGCTGAGGTCACTGATGATGAAGAAGAGGAGTGACGCTCTCTCAGCTGCTGGGCGGTATAGTTCTCGAGCCTCGTTGATCTTTGTCTCGTTCTCTCTGGCCTCCACCACCTGCGTGTGCCAATTGCACAAAATGAGCTATTAGGCTCTCAGTCACGCTCCAAAACCCTCTCATTACACATATTCCTAACTACATATCATTTGTAGCTAATGCAATAAAATGAGGCGCTTGCTGTTGCATGACATTCAAAAACACTTGAGTGACAAAAAAAACTAAACTACTGTCCGACAACTGCAAGGACCCTGTTAGTGTAAAAGCGTCACCTTGTACTGAATGTGAGCGGCTGTGGTCTTGGTGTTCTCAAGTTGCTCCACGAGAGAAATATCGCCCAGGAAATTACCACAGGCCGCAGAGAGGCGACTCAACAGGTCGTCCTCCAACCTCTTCAGCTCAATCTTGAAGTGGTTCTGTTGTGTGGTCAGCTCCATCTTGGGTAACATACACAGAATAATTGAGATTTTACTATTCTATATTACAAACTGTGATTGTGCATTTAAAATACAGAAAAATGAAAATGGTAGGAATCTTTCATGAGATGCTTAAGGGGGTCACCTTTAGGGCCTCCAGGTCGGGCCTTTCCTGGGACACTACCTGTCCCAGCAGCTGTTCCTCCAAGCCTACAGGGGTCACTGTGAAGTTAATGAGGGTGGTCTGGGCTTGGAGCTCAGGTGGAAAATGCGGATTGGCCAACTTGGTGTGCAGTATGAGCTGGAAGTTATTGTTGTATTCACACAACTTTCCCCCAATTTGAATGTACCTGGAAAACAGAAAAGTACATGTTTCTTAAATTAGCTAAATATTGACATAACCGCCATCTTGTTATATTCCTAAAGGTCACTGATGATAAATGTTATGGACAAAAAGTACATAACCACATTTTGTAGTGAGGCTGATACAGTAGAGAAAGTCTGTTATCTCTAATAAAAACAGTGACCTTTCGTTTTTTGGAACATAGACTGGACGACGTGCCTCCACTTCCTCACACTATCTAGAAATAAAGCTAAAACATCCCAAATACAAATGCTGCCATCTTTGCCATTTTGAGCCAAAATCTGCACAGTAGAGATCAGGGGTATCGAAGTCCTGACAACCAGCATCGAATAAGTAATTACAAGCAAACTTACCAAAAACATTAATTATGGAAAATAATAAAAAAAAAATCTGCAAATATGACAACAAAGTTAAATCTGATTCAGTTTCTTTTGGTTTTCCAGTTATTAATGCATTTCAACTTTCAAAGTGAGGGGTGATCAGAAATATCACCAGTAAAAGGACAGAACAGCTGATTTATCAAATCAGATAATAACGGTGTTAATGACAACCATGTCGATGATGATGATAACCATGATGCCGATAAACATTTGAACTGTGGCAGCGCGCTCCCTCTCTAACCTGAAACCTGTCCATCCGAGCTCGTTGACCTCACACTCGTGCGCCCCAACTTCCGACAGGCGACAGAACTTCACTCTTAACTGTTGACAAATAATCTTGAATAAATATGACAGATTGCCAGAGCAGGAGCCAATTTTTATCTGTTCCTGCATTTCAATTAAATTAGCACTGGCTTGACGAACTTGGTGGCTTTTCATTTTTCTCTAATTACCCCTTAGATGTCAGGCAAGGCCCCAATTTTACAGCACAGGTTCCTCATGGCCTGGGTCTGGTTCAACTCTATATCTTCACAAGCCAGAATTAATGTACTATTGATAGAACCATTACTCCACCAAATTAAAGTCCTTGCTGATGGATTGGCTTGTAGTCTTCCGTCAGCCATGAAAGGAATAATTAGTATTCATTACTTCACACTCTACAACATTCCAATTATTAATGAACTTCAGCTGTGGAGCCCTACCAGATCCATCATGGCTGCCCCAGCAGGTTGTATTAATCATCGACAGAAACAAGTGTGTGGGTCATCTACAAGGGATAAACTTATAATCAGATTTACCGTGATGAATTGTTACGTCTGGACGGACAGGACTTCAGAAGAAGCTCATGCACCAAGAGGCTCGATATGCATGTCATACAGAGATCAGGGTGAGGAAGACAGAATGTCAATATTGAGTATTAACAATTACTTTCTGTAAATTATCCGGTTTAGAATTTTTTTGTGTGTTTAGGGTTAAGTGTGAACTGAAAAAAGAATGGGGATTTGAGTGGGCAGCAGCAGTTTTGTTTAAAAATCAAGTTCTCATTATGGACGTAATGTGTGACTTACGGATAAAGATTTGAAATCAAGTAGCGTTAGTGGTGAAGCCTTATTTCTAATTAAATGACAAAAAATTCCTAAATGTGTCCCCACTACTTGACAAATGACATCAAGTTATGATTTAAGGATAATCCACAGGCAATGAGTCATGTTACCGAGTATAAAGCTGATTCAGTCATTTTATTATTCTGTTTCCAGATAAATAAATGCAGACAAACGGCAACGGATCACCTCTCAGGGTTGTGAAATTATTGAAGCTGAATTGAGTTTGCCATAATGATGGAGGACCCGTGAATTAAGTGTGTTACATGCCAGCTTTCTGTGGCAGACAGGAGTCCTTATACATAACCATGACTGTCCTCAATTCGGCTTTTTACACTGAGGCCCAGCTGTTCAATATTCATCACACCTAAAGAATATGAACACACAAATATACATCTATCACCCGTCTTGATGGGCCAATCAATATGCTGGCCACAGGGATTCAGAGCACGTGCCGCAAATTCATTTATAATCTAAAGAGTGGGCAATAATAATGCATTCAGTCATGTCTTACTGGTGTTTCAGCGCTCACTGAGATTCAACCATCTGGCAAATCTGCTCCTATTGTCTCACACCACAGACACTTTGTGATGGGCTGTGGACATATCGACTTGTGTATCAACAGGGATATAAAGACCACTGCAACATTGATTCAAATAGTTTTTGTTGAGCAACAGAAAAACAAAGTATTTACTCTTGGTAAATGAGCTGGTTTGATGCTTCTTATATGTATTTTTTGTTTTTTATCTTAGAACAATAATGTTAATGTAATGTTGCAGATCTTCTACTAACCTTCCTCTTTTGATCGTGTTTCTGCCCAGCAGCGGCTCCAGGATGGGATCTACCTTTTCTGGTAGATTCTCTATCAGAACTGTTTCACCACAAGTCAGGGCTTGTTCTATCACATCTATATATCTGCAAAGAAACAAAATAAAAATGAATTTATGGTATATTAGCACTCCCTGGCATATTAAAATAAGAGAATGGGGTTGCAAATAGACAGATAGCTGCTTCTCACCCCTTCTGTCCTAGCTGCACCACCCTCAGCTCTGACCCTAGCCGCTTTCTGATCCACTTGATGCCCTGCTGCTGTGGGTCAATGATGAGTGGCCAACGCTCACTGGTGGTCAGGATGGCAGCGTTCTCGGTGGACATCCGATCGTTTGGCAGGCCCTGGTTTTGCCAGGCAGCCACGGTGGCATCATCTGTAAGCATGAGGATGGGATCCAGGCCGTCTGTCAGGGGTGCGGAGACCTGGAACAGAAACAAGGGAGTGATGTCACTCCTGAGGCACAACTGAGACAGATGAGCTTCAGCTCACAGACTTCACAGTGGATGTTTGTAAAGAGAAACATTTGACTCTAAACCCAATTATAAGTCTAAAACTGTTTAAAAAATACTGGCATTACCTTTTGAGACTGAAGGAAAGGGATCCATGAATTGTTCAGAAGCTCCACACGATACTGCCTGGTAAAATATCCCATGTAAGACACGAATGCTGAAGTGAGCAGGACATCACCACACAGGGTTTTCTGTTGCTTTTCATACTGAACAATTGCTTGGGACCATCGCTCCCTCTCTGACTGCAACACACAAAGAACAGCCGTCAGTATCATTTAAAAAATAAAGGGTATTCATATGAAAACACTTAAAACGAAAGGAATAAAGCAGAATCTACAATGCAGGGAAATTTACAAGCTGGGCAACCTGCATACAGCTGCAATCCACTTAGAATAGCTTTGGAAGTTTGACTCACTCAGCATCAATTTAGCATTCATTTAAACCTTCAATACCAAGACTGTGACAGCCCAACAACAATAAATCACACATGGCATTTTCTTACAAGGGGCTGTGGATGTAGAATATGTCACATAATAAATTCTCAGACAGTTAAAAATCACTATAATTTTACTCTAATGTATTATGGATTGCCTGTAATATCACTCAGTCCGGGGTGAGACACTGTTAATTTCCAACAGCTGTTGAGGCTTTGAGGTAAGTTAATGATTAAATATAGACGGCCTGATTTATTAGTCTGAACACTATTGCTTCCAGGTCAATGCCATAAAGACAAAACATTTATCTTGATATGCTTAAAAGCCAAGCTGTTCCATGCAAACCACATTTATTTTGCAGAATAAGAAAGTCGAACTTGCAGAATAGCCACTGAAATGGCCATCTTTTATTTCATATTAGCATCCATAAAGATAATAGATGCTGCAGCCCGGAAAAAGTCAGGCACAGAGACGCAAAAGTCTTAAATATCATTTTCAACAAATCATTAAAATGTGCAGCATTGCACATTTATATATTCCGTACATTTATATTCCATAACAATTTGTTAAAACATTTTTGGAGAATGAATTATTGTCACACCAAAGATAAACTAGAGCTTGTGCAAGGACATGTACGCACACAGAGACACACTGACAGAGAGCGGTGTTAGTGTAGCGTTCTTGCCATCTCTCTTCCTTTCTCCATTTGGAAAGCGTTCAGTGAGCCAGTTGCCCAGTTCAGCCATGCGTTGTCTGTGGTCCAGCCCTCTCTACCTGTCTCACAAGTCCCCAGTATGCTGCTGGGCCAGGCTGTAAAATCTCCCATTGCCTGATCTACTCATACAACTGTCAGCTCATCCTGCCAAGACATAACAACTTCTAGTCCAGATTATTGATGCAGTTCGATTTACCAGCACCTCTCCATGCATGCCTCCGGTAAATTAACGGTTTACTTTATGCCAGGTCAGCCCCAGTGACCCCACCGAACATCCTCTATTTCTCCTTGTTTACCTCTAAGCCCTTGACTAGTCGATTGGCGAGCTCTATGGTCTGGTTGGTGCGCGCCACCTCCTCCTGACAACTGATTTTCTCAGCTGTAGCCCTTTCAAACTGTGCTGTTAGGCTCTGGACGTTGGCATCAAGATCCTGCAGGAACAAAGCAAAATGAGGCCATGGAAATGATACACCTAAAATTGAAAAAAGTGGCTAAAGTATAATAATAAGAATTCACTCACTGCCAGTTTCTTTTGAACCGACAACAGTTTGGTTGTTGCTGTTTCTAGCTCTGCATTAGCTTGTGATAATGCATGTCTCTTTGGAATGACCTCGCAATAAATCTGCAAAAAAGGAGGAAAAATGAGAAACAAGAACCAAACTTTTTGCAGAAAATGCATCCGAGAGATAGTAACAACTGGTCTGAAGATGTTGTCTGACCTCATAGTATTTGACAATGTTAATAGTCCAGGCACAGAGACCAGCTGCAGCTGTGGATTTGGTCCGAACTAGATCAGGGTTAAATTCAGGTTTTCTCAGATACTCTTGTTTCACCACAGTCAAACAGGACTCAGGGATGTGCTCCTTGTCATATGACACTAAGGCCTGTAGGAAATCATCCACCTGACAGACAAAAACACAAATGCATGGGATACATTAATATAAACACTGGAAATTTGTGCTGATATTTATTTACTTTACATGAGATACTGTCACAAAAAATCCCTTACTAAATAAGACAGGGGTTAAAATCTCAACAACTTGATATGATTTCATGCCATGTTCTACAAAAAAGACTTAAGAATCTGCAGCAATACACTCACAGATTGAGCATACTGGTAACACTATGTGAATGTATTTATATAATATATGTTATATGTATAATTATTTTGAATCCGTATGTAAACTATATGCCTATCAACGAGCCATTAAGGGCCACAGTAAAAATATGTTTTTTATCTCATGCTGCCATTTTTGTCAATAATGTATATAAGAAGCAGGTATCAGATGTACATGTATTTTTAACAAATTCAAACATTTAATATATATTTTATGCCAAAGTACTCTTTTAGAAATTAAAAAAAAAATTCATACTAAATAAAGTAGTAATAAAGCTCTTTTTTTTTTTTAAATACACCATTATATGTTGAAACTTGTATTAACAGTCACTCAGAGGGTGAGAAACGGTTAACACGCTGGCTCTGCTAGTGAGTGAGCATATTCATAGAGCCATCCAGCTGTAATGTGAGCATTGCTGAGATGCTGGGCAGGGCCAGGGTCAAGGCCCACGCACAAATTAGTTTGGCATTAATCAGGCAGATGTGATTGACACGGTGACAGCTTAACCTTGCCCATGAAGGCCCGCGCCGCCTTCCAGCTCCGATCCTTAGGCACTCGACCGCGGGGGGCCAGCAGCACCATCACAGCTGCTGCCACATTGATCACTGCCCCTGAAGGGTTTGGAAAGGCCTTCAGCTCAGTGATATTCATCTAAAAAACAATAATAAACATTGCGTAATCATTAGATTAACTGAACATTTGAAGGAATTTTGTGCAGTCTGATAAAATGACGCACCTTGTTGAGGGTGTCCAGTGCTGCTGTGGCTGCCGTCAGTGACGGCTCTGCTTTGGCGAGGTCGTTTTCACAATCTTTCTGTTTGACTGATACTTCTGCTTGGATTACAGCAACCTGTTCAAAAGCAAACATTTTGAGGTAAATCATCAACATATTATGTAGTAATAGAGAACAATGCTGAAAAGAGTATGAAAGCCACCATGAGACATGATATCTCACCTTCTGTGCCTCGACATCTGCAGCCTCTCTTTTGTTTCTAACCCTCTCAGTTTGCAGTCCGATCTTTGTAATTAGAGCTTCAATATTCTGGTTCTTTAAGGTCAATTCGGCTTCTTGTGACGCCAGTTTTGCTTGAAGATCCTCAACCTAAAACAGGAACAAATCCTTATATGTACTTCAGTGGGTGATTTGCTTAATGTCAGGGAAAAACTGATTAAATAAGAGAGGAGTACTATTTCTAATTATCCTACCTTGCACCGTAAACCCTGATATTATCCCACAACAGTATACAATAAAGACATGTACCTGAGCAGCAGTGGTTTGGAGTTTTTGAAGGCCGCTGTCAAGCCGGTTCATCTTGTGCTGGAGCTGAGCACGGCTCTTCTCCAGAAGGTTTCTGTACAGGGTGATTTGCTGGAGAAAACTCTTGGGGGTGGTGTAATTGTACCTCTTCTCATTGCGCTGGTATTTTTCACTTGCCTGGTTGACACTAGTGTGAACGTAGGCCATGAAAAGACTGATGGATTCCTGGACGGCAGGCTGTAAAAATAAGCAGACAAGCGGGGGGAGAGGGGAGAAGAGGGCGAGGTGGATTGAGTAGAGTTTAACATCCCCAACCTGATGGGGACTGAAATATTATCTTCATAAATTTTGAATTCATCTACAAGTTTTGCCATCTTACTTGGCTGGCCCTGACTTACTCAATCTGAAATTTAGGTGCAGCTACCAGGAATGATTATGCTTTGAAACCTCTATGAAAATAATGTGTTTAGACCTCTGATGTGCAGCTTGTAAGACATGCACAATGTTTACATTATCTCTGATGCCCTCCAACTTTCTAAACACGGTCTTCAGTTGCTGTTGCACCACAGTCCAACAAGGTATTCATCTTATGGTGCTCAATGACACACAGCCTTCATTAATCACACAGTTAGCAATCAATTAAAGCAAAAACAAATGAGCGGAGAATACGAGGATCAAGCCGAACCATAATTCACAAAAAGCCATTGTTAATGATCAGGGAGCCAGTAGGAAAAAAAATCATTATTAATTAAGATCTGACATAATGGTTTTTGACAAAGCATGCAGTATTCAGTTGAGATGCGAAAGAAGTTGCTCATTGATTGGCCTCGTGTAACAACTATTAGTGGGTTGTGCGTTTCTAACTTTAAATAAATGATCATTTCATTTCTTGTATTCCTGCCTCTTTAAGAAGATGAACAATCATTAATGATTTTAGATATAAGGTCTTACATATTAATGTGTTTCAACCTTTCAAAATAGTTTGCTAATGATGCACGCTTCATTTAAACTCACACACATTCTTTTATTTTCCA